CTTGGAATGTTACATTTTCTGTGTGGCACATCTAGCACTTGATTCTTTTATTCCTTTATGAATGTAACAATATTAACACTAGCTGTCATATTTCAGTTACTTGATATGATGATCATATACCATATATTTACAAACTGTAATAATAAATAGATAATAGTGTGGTCTTTGCGTCGTTATCGTCTACGGACTTGGCACCGACTCTTATACTCTAGAATAATCCATCATTTTCAAGTCAAAATAGAACATTTGAGCCGCGTCACGACAAAACCAACATAGTGCGTTTGCGACCAGCATGGATCAAGACCAGCCTGCGCATCCGCGCAGTTTGATCAGGATCCATGATGTTCGCTATCAGTTTCTCTACTTGTTATAGGGTTTGTAAGCGAACAGCATGGATCCTTATCAGACTGCGCGGAGGCGCAGGCTGGTCTGAATCCATGCTAGTCGCAAACCCACTATGTTGGTTTTGTCATGACGCGGCTCATTTATTTTACATTGTTCTTAAACGTCTCGGTTCACGTTACCTTCTCGGGTTCACATTATATTAGTAACACTTTCAGGGGGATCTGATATGTTCATGATATAATCCAAAGTGTTCCTTTAATTTTGTTTTAAAAAAATTAAGAGAACATGTGTGTAAATAGTGAAAACATTCATAATGTAATTATATACATGTATATACATATTATCACTCCCTTGCGTAAATGTAAGTACTTAAATACTACGATTCAACATAATTGACCAATTTCATTGTTTACATTTATTTATTGAGGGAGAAAAGAATAATGTTATACACGCTATGGTTGTTTTTTGTTACCTTATGAGAAGCAAAACAGGCAAAGTGAAAAATAACGATATACATGTAAGAAGCAAATGGAAACCCAAATGTGAAGATACAAGAAGTACATACCACATGTAGTTGTAACATTTAAATGAAGATACATGGAACATATGGTAACCAAAAATAAAATCCAAAAAGCATATAGTAACGAAAAAACAATAAAGCACATAGTAAACAAGAAGAGAAAATACAAGATGCAAATAGTAATCAAAATTAAAAATACAAAAAGTACTTAGTTACCAAAAGATGCAGATACATGAAGCGTATATGGGGACCCGAAAATGTGAGTACAACAGAGACACAGTGACCCTAAAATTAAGATACCAGAAAGACATGTAAACAAAAATTAATATACAAGAAGCAAACGACTCAGTATCGCTTCTATATGAAATTGATCATAATAATAAAATTAATTTAAGATTTCGTAACAAATTCAGGGCTTATCCTTAATATTTTCCTCGTGTGCTTAAAGATATAATCATATTAAATCAGATTATGAGGAATCGAAAGTATTTAGATTCAAGTCTTTTTCTCTGTTTCTATAAGTTTTAAATCTTACATTAGTATAAAATATAATCTAGTGACAGATGCAGAACTTATTACTATACAAAACACTCTTGCAGTGGATATAATTTGTATTTCAATAAATCTTTGAAATGTATAATTGACGTTAATATTTGTATAGAATACATATTTCTGTCGGAAAGACACATTAATTAAGATTTTATAGTTTACACACTCATTCTGCTTTAAATTTGTTTTCTTCAAAATTGTGTATTGCGACTGGGTATTACAAAGAACATATGTGAGGTACAATCGCAACTTATTGTCTTCATATAATTTCACATTGTTTCCGTTGTCTTCGGTTGTATGTATATAATGTTATTCTGATGGCACAAACCTGATAAACAAACAGTTTTGTTATACAAACATCATTAGTAGTATAAACATTTTATCATGCTGTTAGTTTGCAAAAATTTTGATTGCAAACAATTACCATGCAAACAATAACCATCAAGGGACTCATTATTGGTAATAAAGAATGTGCTCCAGAAGTGCATGATTATTCTAATGAATATACTTTTAACAGGCAATAAGACAGCTTGTATGCTAACAAACATATAATTATGCTTTCCTGAATGTTCCTATGTTATAAATCAACTATTTGCTGGGTTCGTTTGTTATCGGATGATTTGGTACGTGTGTACTATCATTGAAGAGAAAGCATATTTGAGCCGCGTCACGACAAAACCATCATAATGCGTTTGCGACAAGCATGGCTCCAGACCAGCCTGCGCATCCGCGCAGTCTGATCAGGATCCATGCTGTTCGCTTACCAACCATTTTACAAGTAGAGAAACTGATAGCGAACAGCATGGATCCTGATCAGACTGCGCAGATGCGCAGACTGGTCTGGATCCATGCTGGTCGCAAACGCATTATGTTGGTTTTGTCGTGACGCGGCTCGTTTATTCAGTGATGATTTTTAAAACCGTAACCACATTAAATATCATAAATAGACTAGTTCATATATCAATCTGGATAAAACATTTTTCACTTTAGGGAAAATTTAAAAATATTTAGTGACCAGTGTAGATTAATATCGTACGACACAGACGGATAGGCTGATTTTTCACTGGACTGCACTGTCAAAGCGAAAGTATTTCAGCAGCTTTATTCATTGCAGTAAGTACAAAGGCTAGAATAATACCCTTAATGAGTTTGTAACAATTTTGCAAACGGAAACCGATTGATAATTTTTAATGAAAGAAATGGTGGCGATGGCAAATATACCACACACGCACGCACCAACGCATACGCACGCACGCACACACACACGCACGTGCGCGCGCACGCACGCACGCACGCACACACACACACACACAGGTTTTTACGTTCCATAATATTATTACTCTCGGGGTTTCAGGATACAATAAGCTACATTTTCTTTTAAACAACTAGTATAATTGAAACAAAGATATGCTTAGTTGTAGCGATGTTCGCCGAGTAGAAATCACTTTAAACACCTTTACATAATTAAATAAAATGCACAGTCTGTAAATTATTAAAATCATTGGGAGATGTATGCTTAACAAGGGGAAAAACTCGTGCTTGAGAAAAGCTAAAACTGAAGTACAGTAAGTCTCTCTTAAAAACTAAATAGACCTTAAAGAAGAGATTCAAATATATCTATTTGATTTCCAAAGTACAAAGTCGAAAAGGTTCCCTGACTGGGTCGATATTTCAAAAAGCTCTTTTACCATGATGCTTCACATGTTGTCAATTTCTGCAAGTCTGCATTGTTTGATACATTCAATTTTATTCGGCAGTAACCTTTTCTTATATTATTCACTTTTGAAACATGGAAAGACTGAGGCACGGCACACTTTGAAAATAGTCTATTTCAGTATCGTATTATATAGTGTTCAAGAAGGCAGCCCTACGTCAGTAACGCCCCAACAGTAAAGTACAGTTTGTTGTATTCTACAACTATATGTTTATGCACCTTGAAATCGGTGACGGTATGTGATGCATTGCCATAACCGTAATTATCACTTTGAATTAACACTTTAACGGTTAGTACATGTTACTATAGGAGTATAATAGTAGAATAACGGGACTACAGGCTTATGAATGACTAAGTTTCAGTACAGGTTGGTGTGAGAAGAGAATAGGTTACTAATCCATCTTGCATTTAAGGAAGAACAACCAATATTTATTCATGTTTTTTTTATTGATGATTACTACCTTATGTCACATAATTTCCGGCTTGTACACATAGCAGTACCTCTTTGTTTCAAGTACATGTAATAATATAACAAAATTAACAATGTCACAATGATTAGGGGCATATATGTAAAATATGTCAATTAATTCAACATAGAAATAACAAATTGACAAATTTATTGAATGCAGAATGTATACACTGTACAAATTTGTTATGTACTTTTAACGAAAATCTGAAATTATCAAGAGCTTTAAATCATTACTCCAGTTAATTTGACTTAATTACTTAAATTAACTGACAATACTAAATAGATTAATTCTTGTTGTTGGTAATATGCATTGCTCCTAAAGATAAAAACTCACCAAAATCACATCTGAAATATACTTATAATCTTCATGAAGGTGCAGGATACTCTAGAATTCGCCCGATTCCTTTAAAATATACTAACACACAATGAAATCTATGGCTTTTTCAAAAATGCCTAATTAACTGTCAATCATACGTTTATAGATTTTTCACAAAAAATATTCAAAGTTTCTTACTTGTATGTCGCCATCTGTCAATGCTTGATATTCAATTTTCTTACATTCTTTTAGAGACTCGCTACCAACATATTTAGTTACGGGTAAATACCCAAAAACTACTGATTATTATCTACACACAAACAAGAAAGAATTACAATGACAGAGAAATGCCAAAAGCTTTCTGTACCATCAAAAACTCATGTCTGTGTTATAATTAAATTTGACCGGGGCCATAGTTTGAATATGCCCCCCTATCCCCTTCATTTTTTGTGGTCATCTGCTGTGATTTTCTTAAAAGACTGTTTCGCATTAATTCTAACTTTGGTAAAATACGCACTGCAGTTACTTTGTATTTAATCAAAGATTAAAAAGATCATTTTCAGCGGAAGTAACTACATACTACAATGACCATTTCTATAATATGATTTACTTAATCTGAAGAATGAGATCATAGCAAGAAAAGCTTGAGATGTCCCGCTGATGTGGGCTCCACGTCCATACCAGCAAGTACGCAGATTCTCTGACCCATATGGGTTCGTCCCGGCAGCAAATATCAATAAACGTATAAACAATTACATGTGCTGGTGAGTCTGAGCCAAAACAGATTCCTTCAAGGTATGTTAATTGTTTTGATAAACATATGTCTAAATGAATGAATTTTTATTCAGCCATTAAAAACAGGTAATTTTCATTCTGGTACTGGCATTACCGTTTTTAAGATGTTTTATGTGTTACATGTATAAGTTACCAAATTACATTTGGCCTAAAACACCAACATGTATATTCAAACTCTTCAAGTAGTATCTTTCTTGTAATCTAAATATCGTAAAAATATGGTAACATGTCCTAACCATGCTCAACATTTTCGTTATCAATATATTTTAGTAGTCCGTGTTAGTACGGCGTTTAGAAGAGATAAGAAGGGAAGTAACTGTATGAGACGTCTGCAGTTTTAAGACGAGGTAAAATCCAACGTTTCGCTGTTAAAATGACTGACGCAGGACTGGAAAGGTTCGCAATAATTTTAGTCGGATAGTTAGATACAAAACATAACTTCGATTTAGATTACTATTACGTAATTAATAAAACCAAACGTTTTACCATTAAAACTGTTCGAGCAAATGGCGTTTAGTAAAAGAAGGGAAGGAACTCAAATGTGATTATTTTCTACACTTAGTCATGTACTGAACAGAAATATGTTTAAATTATGTTTACATTATGTTATGTGATGCAGATATATTATATATATCTATTTTAGCCCTCCCAGACCACAACGTGTGATTGCATTTGATGTTATTTCTACTGCAAATCCTGTGTATGCGGACACGAAAAATCTTGTTAAAAAGGGTCATGAAGGTCAGTTATCTCTTGTTCGTGTTTGTTGGCGTGCAGAATGCCTTTGGGTGTATATACATGTTTCTTTAATATATGCACTGCTTACAGCTGAACAACTGTCATAATTATGTTGAGTACATATGTAGAATTCTAAAATGTACAATAGAGAAAATAAGAATCCCTAAAGAAAGCCCAACACGCCAAAATTGAAAACGTTGCAGGCTCGGTTTGATTGAGCCTGTTCATGGACGGTACTGTCAAGTGCAAAAACTTTGTAGGCCCATTTGGACATTGTGTGACATGACTGATATACTCAAACACAAAGAGACATTAAAACAATTCTTTCTTTCAAATGCAGGACAGTTAATGAAAATCAAATACATTTATCAAAGATTTATTCATTTGAGAAGTGGGGTGTAGAGTGGGTAGAGCTTGTCACATGTGACAAAGCATTACTTTAAACACCTTTTATTGCTGACATAACCAAACCATCTCATTCATTGACGAAATATAGGATATAATTTATTACTCATTTAGATTTTGAAATAAATAACATCTAATGAAAGACACATTCAAGATTATAGAAGACAGTTACATAATTATTATAGTGTGATATATAATTTATTTTATATAAACTTTTGAACCTGTATAATTGCAATCATAAATTTACACAAAGGGAACATCATAGAAATGCTCAAACTAGTATAGGCCAAAAGGCCTACATTGTTCAACAAATTATTTTCTTATATATAGATATTAATCAACATTGTTCCTCATTTTGCATGTTTATTTCTATCAGATACTGAAATGCTGTTAAAGTTTGAAGACGGTCTTGTTGACAGAGCAGTGTCTGACCTGCCAAATATAGCATCTCAGGTGTTCTCGTTAAACAAGGACCAAAATAGTGAAATAAAACGACAACAAAAACATTTGACCATTATACAGGTGAGCTTGACTAGTACTGTGAGTCTGTGACACAGTTGGTGTCTTAAAAGTTGTTGTTGTTTTGAAATAAAGTTGTAACAAGTAAACTTTGTGTACATCTTTAGTCGATTGTTTCTTAAATATGCCTTTTTACTCATTTCCAAAATGTATTTTCTAAAAAAAAAATTTGCAGAAGTCAGATGTGTAAGGACTTTAGGCTGTCTACATATTACAAAATATTTACGAAAATCAATAGTTTTTTTTTTTCATATTTTATTTCATAAACAAATATAATTTGATAAAATGCCATCCTTACGCATGTTTTGAAATGTGCTTTTAACTTATTTGTTTTAGGACAAGGTGAAAGAGGGTAAGAATTAAAACAGTATAGATTAACCATCAATATTTGTTTCGTTATTAATTCGTTTTAATGTGATAATTAAGTATGTGTTCAATATACTAGTATAAATACATTTACTTCACAATTATACAAGTGTGTAGAACATTTTACTTACTATTCATCACCATAGTCTGTGTAGATTTATCAATAAATACACTAGTGACAAATAAGTCGAAGTGAGATTTTTGGACTACTTTTAGTATGTCTACCCTTTTAGTCCAGCTGTTGAAGGTTTGAGTCCTAATCGGATATCATGACCTTGCTACTCGGATATCATGACCTTGCTACTCGGATATCATCACCTTACTACTCGGATATCATGACCTTACTACTCGGATATCATGACCTTGCTACTCGGATATCATCACCTTGCTACTCGGATATCATGACCTTGCTACTCGGATATCATCGCCTTACTACTCGGATATCATGACCTTGCTACTCGGATATCATCACCTTGCTACTCGGATATCATGACCTTGCTACTCGGATATCATCACCTTACTACTCGGATATCATCACCTTACTACTCGGATATCATGACCTTGCTACTCGGATATCATGACCTTGCTACTCGGATATCATCACCTTACTACTCGGATATCATCACCATGCTACTCGGATATCATGACATTGCTACTCGGATATCATGACCTTGCTACTCGGATATCATGACCTTGCTACTCGGATATCATGACCTTGCTACTCGGATATCATGACCTTGCTACTCGGATATCATCACCTTACTACTCGGATATCATCACCATGCTACTCGGATATCATGACCTTGCTACTCGGATATCATGACCTTGCTACTCGGATATCATGACCTTACTACTCGGATATCATCACCTTACTACTCGGATATCATCGCCTTGCTACTCGGATATCATCACCTTACTACTCGGATATCATGACCTTGCTACTCGGATATCATGACCTTGCTACTCGGATATCATGACCTTGCTACTCGGATATCATCACCTTACTACTCGGATATCATCACCTTGCTACTCGGATATCATCGCCTTGCTACTCGGATATCATGACCTTGCTACTCGGATATCATGACCTTGCTACTCGGATATCATCACCTTACTACTCGGATATCATCACCTTGCTACTCGGATATCATCGCCTTGCTACTCGGGAATCATCACCTTACTACTCGGATATCATGACCTTGCTACTCGGATATCATGACCTTGCTACTCGGATATCATGACCTTGCTACTCGGATATCATCACCTTACTACTCGGATATCATCACCTTGCTACTCGGATATCATCACCTTGCTACTCGGATATCATGACCTTGCTACTCGGATATCATGACCTTGCTACTCGGATATCATCACCTTACTACTCGGATATCATCACCTTGCTACTCGGATATCATCGCCTTGCTACTCGGGAATCATCACCTTACTACTCGGATATCATGACCTTGCTACTCGGATATCATGACCTTGCTACTCGGAATTTATTTAAATAGGTTACAAAACCTTGATTCACACTCCTTCATAAATTTGTTAAAAGATAACTTACTCGTCAGTCATAAATTAATAAATAATGAATAATTTTTGCATTATAATATTAGTATTGCCATTGCAATGTTGCCTATATATGTATTTCATCAATGTAACATGTTGAAAACGTAATTTTCTGAATAATACACAGGTGAAGAAAAGGTGAATGAGATCAAATTAGAAATACAATGTGTGATGAACAAAATCTTTATGAAAGAAGAGGAAAGTAAAGATAGCAGTAAAAGAATTAAAGTTATAGACTCCGGTAATTGTGTGTGCTTTATTAAAGATCCTGTATATCGTTGGTGGTGGTCGTGTTGGTAGTTTTCACTCCGGATTCCGACAGGAAGCCACATTGAATTCACCAGAGCACAGTTCAACCACCGCACCGTTCCTGGGCTGTCAAGCAGTTTATCAGTACTAGTTGCATTCACTTTTGCAAGGAACTTCACCAACTTGAAACCTATGTTATCTTTCATTATAAGAACGTGATTTTATGATACTCAAATTTTATTTGTAATTTGCTTTAAATCACATTTCTGCATAATGATATGGTAGCGTAAAGTCTTGTATATTCGTGTATTATGATGTTTTGAACACACCGATATATACTTGCAGATCTTAACTAAACTTATTTTCTTCCAGAGATTAAGTCATTGATAACAAAGGTATTAAACAAAGAACACGAGTTATCTCATCTTAAGGAAAATACAGACGTAGAAACCAGGTATATCTAATATAATATCACAAACATTTAATCAAAACCATATTTTTTAACATTAAGCAAACTTGGAAAAGAAAGGAAAGTCTAACACTAGGTAAAATTGAACAAAATTTAATGATCAATCGGTTTTGATGATATCATCACCTTTCTACAGGATTTATTTTCGAAACTGTTATTTGTAGAATTTTTTTGCATTAAAATTGTGTAACGGCTTCAAAACCACTTTGCATTTGTTTATGGTACATTAAGAGTATATTATACCCCGGTCACATATTCACGGAATACGCCCACGGAAGAGCCACGGATTAATTCCGGCATCGTCCGTAGCTACCCGTACTGGTCAGTAGCTCTCCGTATTGTAACCGTAATCAATCGTAGTAGTCCTTGTATATCCGTAGCGATCCTTGACAATTTTTGAACATGCACAAAAATTTGCTACGGAAAAATCAACCGTAGCGTATCCCTACTAGTCCGTATTAATCCGTACTGATACGTACTGGTCCGCACGAAAACCGTACTAGTCCGTACTGATTCGTAGTCCACCAACTTGTCAAGGATTTCCACGGTTTTGTACGGAGAACTACGTATTTGTACGGTTACCCTACGTATAAGCTACGGTTTTAATACGGATTAATACGGCATTGTCACGGAAAGCCACGATCGTAATATGTTGTACTACGGAGAGGCAAGGATTAGCACGGTCTTATACGGTTTATTGCGTTGCAACACGAAACGGTACGGAATGGTACGGTCCACCACTGTTTAGTACGGATGAATTAATTTTCAAGGGTATAAATACTACCTTCTTGTTAAAAACAGACATATTTGCGGAAACATTTAATAAATGATAATTGCCATTTACTGGCTGCAACTTTATATTGAAATGGCTCAGAATGCGGAGGCAGTGGTCGAGCTTCTTGATGACATACATAATGATAGAAGTAAATTTATATTAATATCGTACTACAATTCATAAGTAATAGAATAACATTTAATGTTACATATTTTACAAACATTGGATCGTGAAATTGGAGTAAATATGTACATAAAACGAAGTGTCTCATAAGCCTCGGAGGCTCTTGAGTGATAATAAGATTAATTAACAAGCTTTTTACATATTTTTAAAACATAAACATCACGATAATTAATGTAATTGTTAGATGAACAGCAAATCTTAAAGCAGTATTGATCAACATTTTTCATTAATGATTACTAGACGTCCATATCTAATCAGGTAAGAGAAGACAGACGAGATGGTGGACTAGAGATGGGCTTTTACGAAGACCGCTTCAAGTTAAGTATGAGGCTCTCATGGTCGAACTTGTTGAGGATCCAGCGTCCTTCAAGAAATTCACTTTAATCGGACCTGATGTGTCTCGGGGATCGGACGCGACTAGGCCGAGTCCTCTCCGCCAAAATCATTGAACTCTGCAATTCGTTTTCTAGGTGTTCTTTTTCTTTTGAGGCATTTTGAAAATGAGCAAGCAATAGGTTGTGGACTGATGTATTAGGTCCGTATAGATCCGTTGCAATTCGTTCTTCTCCGTATCAATACGTTCTCCTCCGTATCAGACCGTACTTATTCGTACTAACCCGTGCTTATACCGTAGCAGACCGTAGTGTATCCGTAGTGCGTCCGTCCTGATTCGTGTCGTTCCGTATCAAACCCTGTCGGTCCGTAACAATCCGTGTCTCTCCGGGGGCTTTTGGTGGTAAATTCGTCGGACTCCGTACTCATACCGTTGTGTGTCCGGACTGGAACCGTAGCGGACTACGAAATTTCACATTTCCGTAGTAATCCGTGAATGATTAGACCGTAGCTCTTCCGTGGCATTATCCGTGAATATGTGACCGGGGCATTAAAGACCGCCTGGATTAACAAAATAAAGAAAGTGGTATATAAGACAGATTCCACACAAGATATACTTTTAAGGTGTCTTATATATATCCGTTACATAGTAATGGACAGTAACTAGGGGACTGAGCAACAGTTAGGAAAATCGGTGCAATTTATGGCTGAAACATTCAAAGCGTATAGTAAATAAAATTAAAAGAAATTAATAAGCTTGCATACTACTGCTAAGACATTAAATTTTAAACATTATTCAAACAAATTCAGGATAATGAATTGTAGAGCCGAACGGTCGACTGATATCTTGGGGTATCAAACTCGTAGGTCAAATACCAACAAATTTTAAGGTACTCTCTCCGTAAAATTAATTTGTTTGTCATTCAATGTAACCATTTCTTTATGTTATCTCAAAGTTTTTAGCGTGGGCTTATTAGTAGTTTTCCGTGTAACCGGTATTTATATTCATTTATTAAAAATAGTTAAGAGAGCTTCAATGTCTTTAATTCAATTGACCTATCTTTGACGTTTTAGTTATTCCAAGGGCAATGAATGACATCTTGCATTCCAAAGCTATTATGTTTAATTATTCCATGCATGTCGTAAATAAGGCATGTGACCTATTGGATATTTCTCCTGCAGTACAGAATAAATTTGATTACATCAACACATTCAGTATGACTTGAATTTTCTACCAAACAAACATTGCTTGTTTTAGAAATCTAAAGAAACAACTAGAGAAAACAGATAAGTACAGACAAGACGTAGAACAGTTTGAACAAGCATCGTCTTCTACCTATAATGATCTACAGATGGTTAAACATGAAATAGAGCAATTAAAGAAACAAAGTAAGTTTCTCATAGATTAAAGTTACATTAAAAAATATGTAAAAATATTTTGCCATCGGCCTAAAAATCAAGCATTATACAGTTTCATAAACCTTTTTAACAGTTATGTTGTAAATATCATCAAATATTGTTCATAAACTAGGATTTTAAACGGAAAACCCCACGGTAACACTAAAGTTCGTATACGAATTTTAACATGCAAATGAAGACAATAATCTTATGCTCTAATTCGTTACACTCAAACGAGCATAAATCATTTACATTCTTTAATAATACACCTTTGAAATAATAAACAACACAACACAGAGTTTAAAGAGGCTAGAGAGAGTATTTGTAAGCCGTCTCCACTAACCGTTTATTTTCCCAACCAACAAAAACAAAATTCTGGATATAAATCTACATATCAATTTTTGTTAAGACAAAAGTCCAAAAAAGCTTCCATATGACTTATAGTAGTAAATTTACTAAGCAAATTCATCTGTTAAAAAATGCCAAATACATCGTGTAAAGAAATATAAACTTTCCAATATAACTGAATAATAGAGTTGTGTAAAAACAGAAGTTTTTGGAAATGTTCGAAAAGTCAGGTTGCTGCGAGCGGGATACCCAACCCTAACTCCAACGTGGTATTGTTGAAGGATTAATCCAGGCTCAAGACCAGCGGCTCCTTCGAACCTACCTGACGTAAAACCCGAAATTTAGAGGTCTGAAATTTTTTGTCATAATGGAAAAAGGAAACGAATTTTGAAAATTATAAATAGACAAAAACACAGATAATTTGTCACTGAAATAAACTCATTTCATGTACATAATTATATGCAAACAGAATAATAATTCACAATGAATCAAAACGGAATTAAATGAATATGCCTCATCAATTTTGAAAGTCCATTTTTTTTTTTTGCGTATAAAGACACACGTTTACTTTGCTCTGAGCTGTACATAATCCTGAAAAAGAAAACAATTGTAAGAAACATTTACATAACTTTCTGTATAATATGATCGAAAATATTTCAATATTTTCGGAAATTTCACATCTAAACGGCTTGACAAATAAACCTCGAATGCCCGCTTTACTAATTACAAGAAACTCGTGCACTATTGCCGCCAAAAACATAACTTCCGATTACTTCCTTATAAGGAAATACTAAGTTACGGTGTATGATTCCGATAATAAATACATAGCTCGTGTATGCGCTTCGTCACATTGTTATAGTTGCTGTCTGGAACACAGTAAACATGAGATTTTCTTGTGCAAACGTTTTAGCTTCACGGTGAACTAGGCCTGTGGTTCAGAAAAAAGTAATCATCTCATAAAAAGGATTAAATTTGTATGAAAACATCCGTTACAATGCGGAAATATACCGTTACATTAGAACTGCTGCACATAGTCATGTTTGTTGTTTTAATATTGATATACGGATGAACCGAGGGCGGAGTTTCTCATGCAAACAGAAATGATTATTATTGTACTTCCGATTTCGCCACAATTAGGTTGCCCATTTTTATGCTTATAAAACTTATTTTGGTTGTCTTGACACAAAAATATAATCTGGAGTCGATATAAAACCAAATTTATTTATAAAATGTCGCCATTTCTGTTTTTATGAAATTTATTTAATGTAGCTTTAAGATATTTTGAGGTTTTTATCAATAACTAGTTCAATTAATTTTAAGGATCTTATGAGATATAATAGAAGCAGGTTGCTTGTTCAAGCACTGTTTGTTTGTGTTCCAACAATACGTTATATTTGTCAGGTGTAACAGAGAGATCAAATAGTTCAGTTAAATATATTCTTTCTTCTGTTTGTAACTACTGTATATGTATTAACTATGTATATAAATACACTATCGATACGTACCTTCAAATGGAGACGCTTCAAAAAACTATTGTTTTATATTTGTAAATGAATTCAAATACGAAATAAACTGCCAAACAGGTGACCAGTGCCATGAAAGGTACACAACTTAACTGGCTTGGAATGCTACACTAAATACTTACAGCCAACTCTCAACAATATCTCTCATATCCTTTGCTCCAAGTAGCACATTCAAAGAAACTGATTATACCAAACCTGAGCAACAGAAAGGTTTTGTTTTTGTTTTTGTTTTATCTTTCTTCCTTCTTTTATTTAGAAGAGATTATGGATAAGGATCCAGAAGCTACAGAGAGGTTACTGTCAGGGATTGTCGAGAAGGAATTACAATCAGACATTGAAGACTTAAAGTCTAAACTCCTTCAAGAAGGGAACCAAGCAAAATTACACATTGAAAAGGTAGGTTCAAAGATTTTTTTATCATATTTAGTGTATGACAGTCCGAGTACCATTGTTGTTTCTTGAGATTGTCTATAATTGTCCTTCTTGACCCTTAGTGTTTGCTATGATCAAAATATTTCATCATAATAAATACTGATGTAAATATCTAGAAAGCGTATATTACGTTCACCGATGGAAAGAAAGTGCTTTATATAAAGACAATTTGAAAGTGTGACGTTTAAATATTTCTTGAAATAAAGGCATTCTTTACAATGTCAATTCTTATCTTAACAAACTTATCCTATTTAATACATAAATAAATATTATATTTGGGAAAATTTTCCCTCCAAATTTCAGCTGACTGAAGAACGCAAGAAGCATAAACAGTTGACACAGACAATCCAAGTTTTACATGTGAGAACATTTTCTTAATTTTCTTCCGACGTTCGCTTATCCTTTGATGTTTTTTTTATTGCTGCTGTTTTTAATTTTAATAGTAATTAGAAAGCAAATTACTTAACCTAAGTATGGGAAGAATGAGCCTATTTCTTAGCAGTGAATATTTCTACCAAGAATTTTATTTTCATTTGAGGTGTCGTAAATATGAAGTAGATTGTTCTATTGTATCTGATCATAATATAATATAGAAATAATGGGCAATGTGTATCTTTATATACATGTATATATGCTGGGAGGTAGCTTTGTTATCTTAACATTATTTGAACTAAAAAATAGAGAAATATACTGACTTAAAGTGAAATAATATGTTTATGAAATTCTGTTGAATTTAGCAAACCCTTCGTGAGCAATGACTTTTTAACTTCTAGCTCTAGTCTAAGCTTAATTGCAAATATTATATTTTGTTGGCGTTCATGAAATGTCTCTATCAAACCAAAACTGTAAAATGTTAACTCAATACTTACTGTTCAGTCTGGCCGTTAGTATGGCGGCATTTCCCTCTTTCAGTATTTATATGAGCCGCGTCACGACAAAACCAACATAGTGCGTTTGCGACCAGCATGGATCCAGACCAACCTACGCAGGCTGGTCTGGATCTATGCTGGTCGCAAACCCATTATGTTGGTTTTGTCGTGACGCGGCTCAAATAATATCACGTTGTAGAAACGTAACGCAGCTCAAATGACCCGATTACAGCGTCAATTAAAGGAGATACAGACAAGGAACCGGCAAAAACAGAATCAGCTGAAACTGTTACAGACAAATATGGTACAAGCCGAGCAACAATTGATGAAATAACTGATTATAGTGTACATTTTTGTTGTATTTTTGTTCCGTTAATATCTACAATACAAAACTTATCACTGGTAATACTGTTTGTGTTTTACTTTTTATATGAGACTAAGATGGTAAAATATTCAGTCTGTAGATATAGCTTAAATATTCTTAAATTCGGTTGAAAAGATATCTAATCAGAATTCCAAATACGTTTAATCTGTTATTTAGTTACACACATTAAATAAGACGCCGGATATATACAGACATACATAATGTTCAAGACGATAGTTAAAGTAATATTTAACGAAAATGACGGGAAATAATATAGAAATTTTATGTAATCAGGGTTTCGAAACCATTTTTTGATGAAATAAATTACATGTAAAAGAAACAACGAATTTGCTATACACACTTCCTTTTCAAACACGTTGCCTGGATATGTCTGTAAAGATACATATTTCAATACTTTAAATAAAAATAACGAATTTGTGAATAATTTATTGAACTAAAGAAGTTAACAATATAACATACATAGATATAATAATTGTAGCACTTGATAAATGACTAATGATAAGAAATGATCAGCAATAATAGACCTTGTATGATGTCCTTTGTAATGATTAATGAATATGAAACAATGGTATAAAATAACTTAATTATGATGTTATGATGAAGCATTAACCACATTTATTTTAATAAATACATGTATTTACATCATTTTTATGTACGGCTTCTCATGAGCGTATTTTATCAACAAGAACACCGGGACTTCTCTGTTTATTTAGTGATATTAAAAAGTAGTTACTGGCCCTTGTATGCCATTATATATCGCTGATTATTCCTAGTGTCTCTACCTCTTATTTGATCAAAAAATGCAAGTTATACATGTATGTATAAAACTTCACCGAAACCTATGCAAGTTACTGACGAAATTCCTATTGAATCAGGTTAAATTGTAATTCAAACATTTATACGAAATCCCAACTTGCAAGCAAACTTAAGGGGTAGCTTTCCTACCATGAATGGTAATTACAAGGCAAAGTAAATAATATTTATCAGAAATCACCGCGCTCATGTTTATGTCAAGCCATTATAATCCTCTCACAGGGAAAGAGCATTATTATTCGAAACAATACCACATATGTTCTTGAAAATTTCGATACATTTTACAAAATGTATATAATAGAAATATCGAAAAATTAATCTATAATGGAGGAAACTTCTTATGTTTGTATCGTGAATATAGTAAAAGACTTTGTTGAAACAAAATGTTAAGCTGTTGGAAATCTACTTTGTTAATATCGTCCTGTTTTATGTTAAAAGATAACAAAATTAAGTTAAATTACTATACAACATTGTTATTAATTTGCTTATGTAGACAGTTGCATTCCTTACAACGTACAGTAAGACCCATGCGTATTTCTATATTCAATGATTTCCTTTCACTGATATGTTGGAGGCTTTTTGTAAAATTATCAATGACGCGTTTTCTGTAGATCTAATGCTTTGAAAATGTCTGTACTTGTAAGAAATGTCAAAAATGTTACTAATAATTTTAAATTGTTAGGTTCGTAAGTGGTGCAGACATGTTAATAGGGTATTGATGGTTAGTAGAGTTAGATTTATACGACGTGTGAGTGAACGCCGAGTGAATTGTGACATCATCTGTGGTTGTTACAGTGGCGGTGTCAGAACGGTTTGTGACGTCATCTGTGAGAGGTGGAGATTGGTTGGTCAAGTTGCAACCAAATTCTGAAATTATATAAACAAAAGCAAGGTTTATTTGAGAAATATTTCTAGAAGTTCACACTATTAGATATTCTTCGAAAAACTGGCCTGTACATGTACTAACTCCTTCTTTAAAGCTTAAAATATCAGTAATTCCCATTTTGTACGCTAATACGTATAAAGATAACACAAAAGCGAAAAAGGTGTAATAATAGGCTAGCTAATATCGTTGTACATAACGTAATATATAAGAACCTACAATACTATGAAAACCGAAATATTCTCCCAAAAAAGAATGTTCCTTATACTTCTTAGAATGTACAAAATAGGATATTGACAAACAAATCATACTCGACGAAAACAAAATAATTATGTATACTTCCGGATCCCGAAAAAAAATTAATTAGGTAAAAGTTCCCAAACATTTCCTTCCTTTCTTTTTAGCTCTACAATTGAAAATCTTAAGGGACTTTGAAAAATGTGGTGTAACAATTCTAACAAATGAGCGTTACTATTCATGTGATATACAAACCGTAAATGCAAGATACCGGATATTTCTACGCGAATATGAAATAATAAGCTATGGTGATTTTGTGGCTAATGCATAATTAATCGCTGTCATAAAACATATCACTTGATGCTCGTGATTTTGATAATTTCATGCACGGATAATTGCCCCAATTTTGGTACGACTTGAAGTCGCCTTCTGCAAATTGTCTTCTAATAATATCACATCTTAAACAGTCACAGTCGTCTCTCCATTTCTGATCGATTACTTTCTTCTTTACCTTTGACGATCTTATTTGTTTTCTTGCCCTATAGCTACGTTCAGTTTGGGCGCTAACCGGAGGTAAAGGATCATGGGGCACTGGCGGTATCTCGTTCCTTACATTACTTAAATCAATTTGATAAATACCTGATTGTTCTAAAACAAACAACTCACTTTTAGTGTTTTTCTTGACCGAATCTTGGGTTTTCTCTTGTTTATCTGATATTAACGGAGACATTCTTGTATTGTTCTTCACAAACACAAACTCTTTTTCAACCAATTCTTTCATACTATCCTTTTCTAATTTAAATTTTGCAGGTGCTCCTTTACTGCGTTTATTTGTGTCTGAAGTAGAAGCGTCATTCGTTTTGTGCCTTTTAAGAAGATGTTTCTTGTAGGAAATGCTCTCGTATTTCTGACTGTTGTCAGCTTTTGTTTTAATGTTTTCTTGTTTTTGGCTACTTTCTTCAGAGGCGAGATTCTGGAGGGACTTGGACATTGTGGCGGTAAGATCTCGATAGTCTTGTCTTGTATTTAGGTCAGTGTACGATGAACTATGCTGATCCTGTATAAAATATACAAGGTATTTAAAGTTAATAATAATCTACATATCAATATTTGCCATCTTATGTAATTGATATCCACACTATTTATCTGATATAAGACTGATAATATCTACAACCAGATTGAATTAAAAACATGATATAAAAAGATTAAATTAAAATGAATGTATTAACCTGGAAAAGAAATAAAAAAAGAATGAAAAAACAAAGCTTATTTCCCATATACCATAAAACTTAAATGAGACAACATATCCGATATCTCGAAATTTGAATAAAACACCACAGCACACTCCAGCTTAACAAAGATCAAAACCAAAAATGTGTATAGAATTATAAGGAAAAAAATTCAAATTGATAAAGATATAATTAAAAACACATTTGTTTAACCGTTTATATAAAATGTCAACATTGCATAATTTAGATTTCTTAATGCATCATTACGGCATGGTTCTAATCTATATATTTCAATTTTTTTATCTGTATTTAGAAAAACGATTACACTAAGATGATAGCATTTATATTTTGACATGCTAGTACAAGAAGAAATGTCGAAATAGAAAATACAAACCGTTTCTTCACTGAAAATATAATATCTATCCACAATATTAGTTTTACTTTTATATTTACTTGATAATGGTAGACGTGTTGGCATTCTTTAACGTTGGAATGCCGAATTAAAAAAAAAAGAAAATATCTACTGTCCTATACAGAGAACACAGCATTAAAATGAAGGAGGTAATGAGAACTTATTTTTTTGAAATTAATTCAGAGGATTTAAAGTTAAAATTGACTTAATTTAGAAAGATTAACTTGTTATATCATAAAGGCTTGGCTAAATAAAGTAATATTGGTCGCCAGATTAAGTACGCGGATAATCTGACCTTTTATATATTTTATCCTTCTCCGAAAAAACATATTTTGATATATTATTCAACTCTATTTATGTCAACGCTAGAGAATGAATGACTGTCAGTCGTTGACAGTTTGATACTAAAATAAGAAGTGTTCGCACAAAATATGTCACTGACTTGCTATAAAATTAGTATTTAATACATCCAATCTGTCAAATAGGAGACTTAAGTAAAGCTTTGAATCATTTAGATTATTTTTTCTTTCAACTTTTAAACTAAATTTCTTGAATTGTTTTAATTTTGAAAACTAAAATGCATAATATTTTTATATACTGCTCTATCTTACTACAATTACCAACGTTTAGAGCTCGACAGCACAAGTTGAGAAGTTGTTTTGTGTTCGAGGACTTACAATGGGTACATTTTGGAATCCATTCCATTCATACTAACAAATATTAACATATTGACCTTACATATTTAAAACCTAATTATAACAAATGTAATGCATGCCGTAGTTTTCTATTTAGGGCTTAAATATGTTCGCTTTAATGTAGTAGTAGTTGTGTGAACCTTTAAAACTATAATATGCAAAAAGTCAAAAGACTACATATTTTCACAATAGAGAATATTTGTTAGTTTTGAGTAAAAGAAGAAAATATTGGAAAAGATACGTATATTCAAAAGCATAATCTTTGTTGTTTTATGATCTTTGATGAAAAACAGCTACTTATATAAAAAAAATTATCTCATCGACAAAACCAAATATTTTCATTGATCAGCATGAAAGGGGCTTGTTAAGAAATTTGACCGCACAATTCAAGAAGGTATTATGGAAATATTGTTTTATACATTGCAGCTGGTTTTTATTTGTATGTTGCCAAAATTTCGTATTATTCTATTGACTAAGATTTAAATGTATTCACAACAGACATTCTATAAGAAGATTAAAAAATCTAGTACAATTCAAAAGTATATCGTACTGACCAAAATATTGAATTACTTAAGAGTTATTGATATTGATCGATTAAAAACTGTGCCGTCCAATACCATGTACATGTATACAGACGATCGGGTTTGTGTGAACTATCAAATAATCCTTCTAAATATATCCTGTCACACAAAAAATATATATGTTCTGTATTCACGCACTGAAAGCCTACGAAATGTGAAGCCTGTCGACTATATGCTGACCCTTACAATTTAACTATGCATTAAAATGTCCAAATATAATTGACCGTTTGGCGAATAAACCAACATTTGTTTGGTTCAAGCACATTATTTCAAATTAAGATTCATTAATTTTCTTCAAATTTATAACAGGCGTTAAGAGGTTCAGCTGCTTGTAAGCAAAACAATTTTTGCTAGCAATAAATGCTTTTTTGAATATGATGGAAGTAGAAGATTTCCTATAAGCTACTTGTTTGTGTGAGGCAGTAATTCCCTTCTGTACTGTCAGGTAACAGATAAAAAATTAACAAGAATAATTTTTCTCGAGTTTTGATAATTATAAATACTTCAGTTAATACGGTTGTTATCTCGTATTTTTTTCTTAGCAGACCATTTTATCAAAATCATGGATAGGCAATGAAAACAAATTTCAGGAGGTAAAAATTGCAAACTTTCTATGATTGAATCTGTTCATAAGAGGTAATGTGAAGTATAATATCCTCTACGTCCACTAGCACCACCTTAATCAGTATTAAATCTCCATTGAAATCAGTGATCCCGAAGGAACAAAAAATAGAACAGTACAGAGAGGAAGTATGGGTCAACATTTTTACAGCTGTCACTCAACATTTACACCTACTATTGTCACAAAAGAAAAAGAAATTTCAATTAAAAGCATGGCAGTAACGCTTTCGACTGAAATCGTGCCCGTAGTATAGTAAGATATAGCAATATAAGACATTGTTTTTATTCTGTATTTTAAAGTAATACAATGTATTTATCATTCATTTGTAACAGTGTTTTCTAAATGTAATTTGCTACGAGATAAAACAATTCTCTAAGTACTGTGTTAAAGTACTAAACAATATTATTTAGTATAAAACAAAGTCACCAACAGCAAACACGCTACACCAGAATATCTTGCAAAAGGTAAACAGAACCAAAGCTTTTCAAAGTAATAAGCTTTTTAATATTAGATCTAATAAGAATAAGCAGCATTCAATTTTTATTATATAAAACCACACACTTTTCAGGCTCTTTACTTGGAATTGAAAACGGTTACATAACTAAATATGTATAATATCCATTTCCAAATTAAAATTTGAATGTATGAACTAGTTCTTAACCTTTACATGATAAAGAGATTCATAGTAGAAAAAGGTTTTAGTGTACGTAAAGAACTAATTAAGTTTATGACTTGAAATGTCTTATTTTCTATTTTCAGTTCGGTAATTAAACAAACAAATTTTCAAATTTTCCGATTAATATATTTAAATAATAGTAACAAATATTATGAAATATCACAAAATACAAAACATAAAATAACACTATAGTTTCATTTATACAGTAACTTAACGTCAACTGTATAAGAAAGTGTCCCAATGTTATTAAAATGGCTCATTTTTAAAGCTCCAAAGACAAAGAAAAATTTAGAATACGACATAACTTTGGTCCGTGTGTTAATGTTATTATATATTATTCTACAATAGCTATAAAAGAAAGCATTTTGTCTACACTAACTCCGTGTTTGTTTTACCTTCGGGTGTTTCGGTGGACTGTATTTCCAACTCTCAAAATGAAAAGCGACCTGTGTTAATTTTAGGAGGAATGATATTTTTATCATATTTTTCTTTCTTTCCTTCTTTTAAAATAATATTTTTTATCTAACAATCTTATTTACAATTTGATTTCATTGTCTTGATACCTGAATTCCTACTTCATCAAACTTGACTTCTGCGTTACCTTTTCACGGACTTTGATCACTTTATAAAAAATATTCATGATTATAAATTCAAAGTATTATCAATCACAAAGATACGGCACTTTATTTATCTATAAAAATAAATAACTTTAAAATGATTTTTTGAAAGAAAACAAAAACAATTGTGCTGTTGAATTACTGTCGGTATTGTCTGCGCACTGTACCAAAGAAAAATTGCAGAGTCACGATATTCAACATAATTATATAATTTGATTTGTGAGTTCATCATATACGATGACTGAATCATAGAATAATGCTATTTTGGTTGAAACAATGAAGTACATGGTTAAATACAAGATAGAAAACTTGTCTACATACCTGTAAGTTTTTCTTGTCTGTTAAATCTACTCGCCGGTAACCATCTGAGTGAACTGTCTTGCCGGACATTCCTGTCACAATACTGCACGTGGAAATTGATGGTAGCTTCATAGAGTCATATGTGTATGATCGACTAAACGAGCCAGGTCCTTGAAATTTCTGTTTTAATATAAAGCAGAACATGATTGTAATACATTAATATTGGAAGAATATTCCACTAACAAACAAGAGCGGTAACCATGTATAACTGCGACCAGTGCAGACCAAATACAGGCGGCAAAGCCATGGCCTGCACTTTTCAGTATTCAGTCTGTAAATATTTTGAATTTATATTTTGCATTTTTCCCTTAATACGATCAACCGTTTAGTCTATATTGAAAAATGAATGGACGTGATTTTTGTATTATTTGAGCTGCACGCCAGTCAAATTCATTAAAAAAACAATGATTACGACATTTGAGACGTCAATGATACCGGTTTATTTCATACTTTCCAGTGTTTTACTATATAATAATATATCAGATGATTATATTCTGATAAACCACTAGTGAAATTTATTAAATATAATTTTCACTGTAGCCAGACTATATCTGAATGCGGATGAAAAACAACTAAACGGAATAACAAGAAAAAAATGAATGTCGTCATACGTAAATTTTGCTTCTACAGGAAAAATAAGTCGATGTCATCATACATCATGTTAAAAATGTAACAAAATAAGAGAAATTTAACAGAACTATATTTCAAAATTGATGATGTGACGTCACGATGTTATGATGTCTTAAAGGAGAATGCGCGACGTTACGCGGCAGTCAGTATAAAATAATTAAAATCACATGAAAAGCATGAAATAAAAAGAAAATTTATTTGTTTTACTTAAAAGATTGAAATACATTTCATTCGTGAACACCAGTTACTCTTTTGCCACTCGTGGCTACGCCACTCGTGAAAATATTGCATCTGGTGTTCATTCAGTGATCCTGCATGCAAACAAACAAATATCCTCTACATAAACATGAAATTATTATCAATTTTGAAGGTATTGTTAAAGAAAAATGCACGGTTCGAGTACAAATACATAGGAATATAATCACGAAAGCCATGGGTACAGCACTCTGATATGCATGGAAAAAATATACTATACTGAGCGTAGAAGTAATTTCCTCACGTCATTTGGTTTATTGACGTCATGTATATGTCATATGATGTGCTGCATATTATATTGTTATAAATATTGCTCTTGTCTGTCCTATTTGTCTACGAGGGAGATAGTTTGAAGCGTGTAAGAATTCTGATTTTTAAAACGTCGTTATTAAGGGGGCGGGGGTCGCCTTCATAGGAATTTAGTACATTGATGTTTATAAAGAGACGTGCCTCCAGATTCATTCTAATTTTCTTAAATGTATTGAAAAGTAAAATATTGTGAAATGAACGCTGTAGAAATATGGTAATAAATACTACAAAATCAGGCAAATATCGCACATAACGTAAATTATTACATGAATCTTGAATTTCTTTCTTTTCTTAAAATCTTAATACATTATTCTCAAGTTTAATTTTCTTGAAATATTTTGATGTATCTGGAGGCATGCAGCTTTAATGAAGATTTTACATTATACCTTTGGCATCCCAGACGCTTTTGCATTAAAATCCAATTTCGGGAGACTTTTATTTCTTTCCCGAAGAACTTTGTATCTCTGTACATAAGTTGACTTATTCCTGTGTCGAGGCTGGATAAATGATAATGGACTTGCAAAGCTACTTCCACCTGGAGAGCTATCTCGAGGGGTCATCAATCCACGAATCCCATTTTCACCCTTCCCGGCATGCTCCAGGAATGCTTTTCTATAAGCCTGTAGGTTAAAAATAAGAAGATTGCAGTCAACACAGACCAATATATATTATAAAGGAAAAAGATCTACATGTATATAAGCTTTTAAGAAAACAGATAACGCTGCACGCAACACAGCATAGAGAACGAATAGAGTTTATTTTCATAATTTCACTAAACTTATACATTAACTAACTGTAACCTTTAAGCGAAAGCGTAATTACTATAATTGATAGATTCTTTGTAATCAAATATAAATGGAAAGTACATGTACAAATAATAACAAAAGACTGATAAACTCCTATATTGTTGAATAATGCACGGTTAAAAAACGTGCATTATAATACTACAGTGTATAAAATGTCAAATGACGTGTGAGCGCAGTGCATAGACCTACCGTGTAATAATGCACTTTCCAAGATAGCCCTATCTGTTAATAGCGGAATAGTGTAAAGCGTGTTAAAATTGATATTACAGAAATGGTAAAATTTGAATATATATAAGCATGGTTCAAATATAATATAATATTGTAAAATTATATCAGGAAGACTTTTACTGATTGATGTTGTTACTACTTTTAAAAACAAGAGCGATCAGTAATCACATGTGTCGCCTCATGATGGCCAATTTCATGTTGGGACAAATTTTGTGACAGACGGGCAGACAGACAGACAGTGCACAACTAGACTTGGTACTGATCATTCTTGTAAAGTTTGGATAAAATTTCACCAGTAGTTTATGAGGAGTAGTCCGGACAAGCTTTTGCGTATCTGGCAACACACAGAAAAAAACACCTTTTTATCAAAGGGCCATAACTCAACCAAAAATCATTCAACCGGAAAACCCGTGCAATATGCGCAAGGACTTGAGCTACAGATCAATCCTGTAAAGTTTCATTGAAATTGCATTAGTGGTATAAGAGAAGTAGTCCGGACAAACTTTAAAAATAAAAATTATTAAAGGGCCATAACTCAAACAAAAATCATTGAACCGGAAAATGCTGACAATATGCACAACTACACTTGGTGCTGATCATTCCTGTAAAGTTTGGATGAAATTGCACCAGTAGTTTATGAGGAGTAGTCCGGACAAGCTTTTGTGTATCTGGCAACACACAGAAAAAGAAACCTTTTTATCAAAGGGCCATAACTCGGCCAAAAATCATTCAACCGGAAAACCCTTGCAATATGCGCAAGGACTTGAGCTACAGATCAATCCTGTAAAGTTTCATTGAAATTGCATTAGTGGTATAAGAGAAGTAGTCCGGACAAACTTTAAAATTAAAAATTATTAAAGGGCCATAACTCTGACAAAAATCATTGAACCGGAAAATGCTGACAATATGCACAACTAGACTTGGTACTGATCATTCCTGTAAAGTTTGGATGAAATTGCACCAGTAATTTATGAGGAGTAGTCCGGACAAGTTTTGTGACGGACGGACGGACATACAGACAGACAGACAGACAGACAGACGGACAGACAGACGACGGACAGACAGACGACGGAGAAGTGATCCCTATATGTCGCCACTACTCCGTAGAGGCGACACAAAAAAGATGAATTAAAGTGAAACAAGTTTTATTAATAATACATGTACGTAGTTCATATTTAAGACAGTTACAGTTTGTTGTTTGTCTGACAGTGGTAACATGAATTGTTTACCTTAAGAAGTGCGGCAAACTGTTCATCTGAAAGTTTGCCTTTATACTGCTTCAGTTGCTCGGGAGTCTCAATGGTGCCGGTTTGTGTGAACCCCGTCTTGAATTCAATCCCTGAACTATCTCTGTCTGAATGTAACGATATATAGGTATACCAACCACGTTGTCTTAAACTAAGCTAATTAATCCATTTAATATAGTGTAACCGCAAACTTTGAACAAGATTTATCAACTTCTAGTTGTTAACTGCTCTTCCGCGTATATATATTTTCAGTACAATTTATATTCTCTCTTTTTATTTCTTTTCGTAAACTTCAAGATATTGCAGATAGACTTCCGTTTCTTTCATTTAAATAACCATGCTTAGATCATGTATACAGTCATTTAAAAGTCAGTCAATTATATTTCACTATTTTAGTTCAATTTCTATATTTGGTATACAAACGTTTAAAACGCACGGAGAAGATCAAAGATTAAGGATAGCAGTACAATCCGAAATGGTATTATATCGTCTCAAAACAAGATAATGGCCATTTTTAATTACAAAAACAATATGTAAACAAGGTATTAATTTTCATAATCCATGGATGTTAATCGGTTTGGCACATACATTGTATACATGATCTGCTTATATCGACTACATAATACTAATACTATTATAAATCTAGCTTAATCAATATAGATCTCTTTAGTTCATATTTAGCATAAAGCCTGCGAAAAATGAAACCATTTTAGATATACTGAAATCGATCATACTAGGTACAAACAAGTTAATGTTATTGTCATAACACTGAAATTTAAGATATTTATAATGACCTCCCTCGATACAAGTGTCATGTTTAGTTCGTCGTATACAATAAGCACAGTTCTTTTTACAATGAGATAAAATAGCTGTCATTTCTTTCTTTATGTGAAATCTAAACCTTAAACTTGTGGTAATTAAAATAAATTACTTCACCCCATAGTCTTCAACTTTCGGTTTAATGACTTTGTACAATAATAGTTGTTCTCCATACGACATGTACCATGTCAACTACAAAATTACTTGTCAAAAATCATGCAGTATGTGCATTAAATGAAATATCTATTTAAAGTAATTATTATGACGGTGTCTCCGATAGTACCATCGTTAAACTTGCCCTTGTATCGCACACACAAACAAGCACAGGTACGCACACTAGTGTTACTAATCAGTATAGGATAGTATAGACAATCCACTAGAGGATGTTTAAATATGCTTAATATCTAAGCTCTAGCTATTTATGTTTTTTAAAAGAAGATTTTTCAATTTTAACTATATGCATTTAAGGAAAATCAATGACGCCCTTGGACTGTACCTATTTTGACCCCAGGGCTTTTATTTGAACAAACTTGGTAGACGCTCATTATACCATGTTTCATGGAGATGTCGTTTTTGAGATGTCGTTTAAAGTAAAAGTTTACGGTCAGCGTGGTCGGACGACGGATGAAAAGCGATCACAAAAGCTCACCATGTCACTTTGTAATAGGCGAGCTAAAAAAGGCCCGAAAACATATACAACATTACTGATTTAATGAACAAGACCTCCACTGAAGCGGGGCAATATACGCCCAACGGCAAATTAACGGGAAGGTACGATCATGGCAAAATGCCCCATGGTGTATAAAAAGGGCAGTATTTTATATATAAATTACATGTTATACAGAATATCAAGGAATTATAGAATGCCTCACAAAGAACACCATGACAATTCAGTTCTTTTCAAATATGTTGTATATTCATTAATAAAATAAAATTAAATAAATAACCATGGATGAAATGGAAAGGTTTATATATTAACTTTTTGAAGGCTGCATGAGCAAGTGTAAAAATCTTTCCAGTTTGATATTTGACAGCATGGCATCCTAAGAAGTATGGATTTTAGGAAATATTTTTTCTCAAAATAGAAGCGGACAATAGGGCTATGGTAAAATTGTAGGTAAATGTAAGTCCCTCTTGACAGTCTGCATTTATCAAGCACTGATGAAGTTAAATACATGAAAGAAACAACTCAAATATATCAGGCAACAAACAACTGAAGTTTATTATTTATTCCGTATGTACATACCTTGCTTAAGCATATGTATTCAATATCGTTACAAAAATATGAACTTTCAAAGACCTTAATATTTCAAAATTACAAAAAAAAAAAATCATAATAAAATACCAAAATGAAAAGAAAAGCAATAATTTGGCACAAAAAGGAACTATAATAAACATAGATGAACCTTAAATGATGACATAATGAAAGGTGATTTTTTGCAACATAAATTATATAATACTACAATGCCCTCTAAAATAATTATACATGTAATACATATCAATATCAATAATATGCTGTCCTCCAACAATTCCATTACCACTTCATAATTCTATTTGTTTACAAACATTTATCTTAAGCAACTTTATACAAGATCCAGTGGCTGACAACATAACTCCACAAAGATATTTATCAGAAAACTTCACAAATGCTTGCAACATTGACAAAGTGAAAAAGGAGTAATAAATATGAAACATGAGTTTTAGGGTTACATGTAATTTGAAATGGGTCTTCCCATTTTAATAGTGAACAAGGTTTTTAAGATTGAAAAGGGTTTCTTTGATATATATTTTTTTTTTTGGAAACGGACCTTGTTTTATGAAAAAGGGACACTCCTCTGCAAAGAAAATGAATTGAAATTGTGTCATATTATGAATGTGAAGAGGTATACCAAGTTTGATAGTAAAAAAAGAAACACCAACGTTAAGACATGACAGTACCTATATTTCTCTCCAACAAGTCAATATTTATCTAAACACTTCATAAAATCAATACCACTTTATAAAAATAATAATTAAAGAAATTAATTTAAAAAACCACTTGATGAAACCACATAATATATGAAAGCACTTTTGGAAGGCAGTTTTTAAATTAAGCAAAAGAGTAAAAGTGAGATTACCCAGTAAATTACACAAGTGTTGTGAAGAATGATAATTTTAATGTCTGTTGCAGTTAATTTACACGGACTTATATAAATTAATGAACAGACAACAGAAAAATATTTTCTAAATAATTAATTGTTTTCTATTATGAAATCATAATGAATCAATTGATTGCAATATAAGAGAACCGGATGTTAACTATTTAAATTTACAGTAAACATAGGTTAACTATTCCAAATGTTATCTTGTTTTACAATGAAACAAATGTTAACTATTGCAGATATACCAAATGTTATCTTGTTTTACAATGAAACAAATGTTAACTATTGCAGATATACCAAATGTTATCTTGTTTTACAATGAAACAAATGTTAACTATTGCAGATACACATTAAAACAAGTGTCAACTGATGCAAATTTAGAGTGAGTAAAGTCAATGTTAACTATTGCAAATTTACAGTAAAACAAATGATATCCTGCAAATCAACAATAAAACATGTTATCAAAAAAAAACCCCAGATATTACAAATAAAGTTGTAGTATAATGTACATATAACATGTTTGCCCTATAGACACAAAGCACAGATGGTCCTTAAAATATCTCTCCTAAATACATGTAAATACCAATTGCTAGATTAATTACCATTATTATCACTACAAGAACTATATATACAGGTATCATGCTAACTAAACACATATACATATATTTTTCTTATGTATATTCCATTACAGATTTTGTTTCTAAAATGTTTATAATATCTCTGCATTTTCTATAACATTATCTGATCTAAACAAAAACATTATACATAATAATGTAAATTTCCATTGGATATTTCTTTTACAGTTGACAATTTATGATAAACAAAAATATGAACAAAACAAAACGCCCTTCCTTCCTATCTGTCTATCTTGAGACATTAAAATGAGCTGCCAGCATTCTAGCCAGGTGACAAAGATTAATCACTTTCAGCAAGTTAAATGTTAACATGTAAGATAGCTTTGAAACTATCTGTCTGCATATTGATTGTGACAAAATAATAGTAACAGCTATATCCCTACAAATATCACAAAATGTGACTGTAACTAACATAGTGGTGAACAACTTTTATGACAGAACTTGATATCAAAATAATATTATATTCTTCAACAGAGGAATAAAGGTACTATACAAAAAGGAAAAAATAGAAGAGTATTTTAGCCTTAAAAATGAGTATTTCGAGCCTCTGTTACAACAACTTGAAACAGCAGCAACATCAAAACGAGAGTTCAGGTTCTTGCAAGATAAAAAAGTGAGATTAAGAGGGCATATCAAAGCACAAGCCTGTAAAAGCATAAAACACAAAGTTGAATGAAAGATGCAGAGATTATATTTAGGCAAACCATTTAAGACCGTGCAGTTAAACTTTGTTCCCTCAATCCCAGATAGCTGGAATACCTGCCTTAACTTAACATCATACCCAGTTTAATTCCTAAATAATATATTGTTCTACCTCAGATCCCTCAAATACTGAATGCTGCCTGTGTCAGAAATTTAATGACAAACACACTTCTTCTGTTGAACACCAAAACACAATAAAAGTAGCAGGCTGACTTGCTTTGAATTACTGACTATTGACTTCAACTGTTGTTAATACAAGAACTACCAATCTATTGATATAAAAACTTCAATGGGCCTCTGAGTTTAAGCAAATAAAGTTCAACTTAGTGTAATTTCCACAAAAATATGTTACAAATGCCTTATTAAATCCATATTAAAATATACTTCTAGTTTCTTGTTCAAATTAGAGAAATAACTGCATAGAACTTATGTGTTTCTAATGAAGCAACATTAATAACAAACAAAAGTTATACATAAACATTTTCTGTAACAAAATATTGAAAAAACATTTGATATTTTACTCTTACTATTCAAATGTAGAAAAAGTGATAATTTGGAACACGATAATTACAGGACTGTAATATGAAATATTGCTGTAGCATAAAATACTGTATAATATCTAACAATATGTACATAAAGAACTTAATAGCACTTCAACATTTTGATGGGGTCACAGGACTGACACATATTCTGTCTTGCCTTAACTCATTATTTAAGAAAATAGGAGATAATTGTGAGAACAAAATAAAATACATCTGTTTCTAATACCAATACAAAATATTAATGTAGATATGTTTTCATGTTTTTTCTTTCTGACTTTTATTTTATTCCCGAAACACTCAAATATCAACAACTGTATTTTATAAAATGCAATAAGGAATAAAATACATGTATATGATCATTAGAAAAACTGTAAACAGACATTTATATTATTTTGGACTTTAAAATATAATATATATAAACAAATGCCCCTGTCCAGATCTGTACTTTTAAAAAAAATTTAACCTTGAAGGTCAAAATTGTGTCAATATTTCAAAATAAAACTTTTTTACAAGAGACATGTTGTGATATTGAAGATTTTCACGAAAAATTATGAAAATGTATATTTTCACGAGCACGAATTTTATTAATTTGAGTGAAAATGTGTATCATATTTCACAAAAATGAAAAGATAACCTTTTTATTTTATTTTACTATCAAGATAAAACATTAAATTTGTTAACAAACTCCCTCACTTATTGTACAATCTGAAGATATATGAGCCGCGTCACGACAAAACCAATATAATGGGTTTGCGACAAGCATGGATCCATACCAGCCTGCGCATCCGCCCAGTCTGATCAGGATCCATGCTGTTCGCTTACAAACCCTATTACAAGTACAGAAACTGAAAGCGAACAGCATGGATCCTGATCAGACTGCACGGATGCCCAGGCTGGTCTGGATCCATGCTGGTCGCAAACCCAATATGTTGGTTTTGTCGTGACGCGGCTCATATTATTATTATTAATATTTTGGTTTTCATCAGTGAGTGACTATAGGCTCAATACACAATTTATTGCCATCATCTTAAACTGTGTTGAGAAAAAGTGCCCGATTTTTTTTTTTAATTTGTGATAATGAAATAAATAACTGAAGTTATTGACTGTCAAGAAAAACATCTAAAAGTAGTCCCTAGAAATAAAAATGCACAAAAACATTTACAAAATAACTTGGTAGATTTATAATTAATACTGTTTTGAAGACATATGGCATCCTGTAATGATATGGCATGTATGTGAATATTGCTATTAATTATTTGAACAGTGGTATAACTGGTATACTAATCTATCTATCTAACAATCCATGGTCTACACATAGTCAATAATACTACATAATCTGGTATTTTCCACAAAACCATAGAATAAATTCCCATTTGAAATCATGAAATAATACTGCTATTTGAACCATGTGCATATACTATTATTGATCTCAGAACAATGGAATATTTTTGCATTTTGTATTGCTTAAGTATCACTCTATTCTACTATATTTGATACTGCACTATTGTGTCAGATGTAAACCATTATTTATAGCAGTGAAAACATTGTGGCTTAATCGTTATAGCCTCACTGATACAAGGGTATATCACTGTGCACTACATCTATGCATTAGGTTACATATGCTGTTGTAATCATAGCCTCTTGTAGATCTATTTGTAATATCACATGACTGGCTGAAACTACAGCATAGATTTTATTTGTACAACTTTCAGTTTCGATGTTGATATAGGAGGTTCTAGATGTATTTCTGTTATAACCTACTCAACAGTAGCTACCAAAGACATCAACAAATACAATTATGTGTCATTTCCTCCTGTTGGTTCTGTAACAAAAAAATGTTTTTCTTATTACACTGTTCAACAACATGAAAGATAAGTTAACAAATATTTCCCTTCTAAGTGTAAGCCATAATACAGCAATCTTTAGAGGTCATATGATAATGAAAGTTAACAAGTAAAAATAAAAAAACTCTTGAGTCTGACTAAATCCATCACATTCTGGAAGCTTTGAATGCAAGCTTCCTCCCCAAGAAAAGTTATAGTTATTTAATATTTTGTATGGAAGTCAAAATACATGTACTACTTTGTTTACATTTTGATACTTTGATGACATATTATTTCACATTTAGCACCACTGTCTTCAGGCAATAACCATCTACATGGCTCTAAAACCATTATTTAAATATTGCAAAATTCATGTTTGCTTTTTCTAAAGAAGTTAAAATTCATTCGTTTCTGAGACATAATGTGCCTTTCCTCTGTAAACCATTTTATTACATTATCTATTTAATTATTATTTCTAAATCATTTATCAGTAAAACAATTTTATTGAAATCACTATAAACCATTTATTTATTAGAAATAGATAAGCTAGAAATAATCTTGAACATTCAGTTACAAATTTAAACAATTTTACATAGGATTACACTTACATTTTGATACTCTCACAACATATTACTTTCACATATAGCACCACCTTTTTTCATGTAACAAGCATATAACATGTTCTATAACCATTATTTAAACATTGCAATATTCATGTTTGCTTTTTCTAAAGAAGTTTAAATTTACTTGTTTCTATATATATCTACTTTATTATTATTTTTAAATTATTTATCTCTGAAACAATTTAACTCAAATGTCTGTAGACCATCAGTAGAAGTACACCCACCATCGTCATCATCAAGGTTTATTGTTTCAGGGATATCAGTTAACTGTAGTTCATCCAGGGACTTTAGTCTCTGAGCTGTAATACAAACATATTATAATAAAGTTACTATTAAAGTATATTAAGATATATGGGGCAGTCAGTATGCTGCATAATTCATGTTCATTTGTAATTATATATAATGTGATAAAAAATCAATGCAATTATTGTTGTATATATTTGCCACTTGTAGATTTTAGGAACAAGACTAAATGTGCAACATCTAAAGATTCAATACAAATTTTATTACTAAATCTTTTTATCACATAAACCCAAAATTGAACTTGTGAATAACACAATATTATGCTTGCCAGAGGCTCGCATAATATGATTTTGTTCAATAAATTTACTAGTATCAAACCTACACTTGTTCAGTATCCTCTTATTTATATATTACATACAATTTGTTCTTTGATTCCTTGTTTGTTTGTTTGTTGGGTTTTACGTCACACTGACACAGTATAAGTCAATTCGCGACGTTCAAGCTTTACTGGTGGAGGAAGACCTCAGGTGCCCTTCCTTGCATTATTTCAGGCACGAACGGGCACCTGAGTAGAACCACCGACGTTCCGTAAGCTAGCTGGATAGCTTCCTCACATGAAAGAAATCAAAGTCCCTGTCGGGATTCAAACCCACAGCGGTGAGGGGCAAGTGGTTTGAAATCAACGGCCTTAACCACTCTGCCACGGACGCCCCCCTTTGATTCCTGTTTCCTTTTCTAGACAAGTAGTAGATAAGTAGAAGGGGGTATATTGTTAATTTGTTTGTGATATATATGCTTTCTTTTATAACAACACAAAAAGAACATAAATTAGTTACTGTATTCATATACTACATTTTAGATCATACCTTCAATCAAAAGTCCTTCTTCATAATGATCAAACAGTTTATCTGTCCATTGCTTCAAAGGTTCTGTAAGTTTGAATACAGTATCTGAAATAAATACCAACCTAATCATTATTTAATCGTAATTAAGTTTTGAAAAGACACCAATGAAAAATTGAAAACTAAAAACATGTATAATCTAAAAGGATGCCAATAAATGATATTCATAAGACAAAATTTGCATAATATGTTAAAATCTATTTATTTATTAAATTTAAGTTATTCTTGCCAATTTTTGTCCTTTTCTGGATAATTTCGTTAATTTGTTTGCTTGGTATTTAATCCAGTTTAACAAATTTTTGGTCATATCTCATTTTCTCAACAGCAGGTCCATCTAACAAGCTTCCCTGGATATCTAACCAGTAATTATCTATTTCCAAGCAATTGATCAACTAATAACCCCCTTATGATGTCTGAATCAGGTGTGGGAGACAATGACCAGTAGACTTTACAATAAAACAAAGACAACTTTACAATAAAACAAAGACAGTATAAAAATAACACATCGTACATATTAGCAACCCGAGAACTGAAATAACACCCTGAGAGACATGATAATTTTTTTTTATTACATCAAACCAAGACTTTAATGTAATTTTTCATCACTATGCATTATTACTCTGAGAGTAATTTATTTTTATCATATAAGCGGCCACTGGTGAGAGAACTAGAATAACATTTTTTCTTACTTCTACATAGATTACTTGCCCCTAAGGAATATTGAAAAAAAAAATTATATTGACCAGGGGATATTTATTTCGAGGATGATAGATCGAAATAACACCATGTGATGTCTGTTAGGATATATAGTTAAAATGTTTATGTGAGGTATAATAACATAAAATGTTATCCTTACCTAAAACATCAACAAACTCTTCTTTCTTTTGAGCTTTGTTTGCCCTTTCTATTAATTTCTGCAAAGTTTCATTTGCCTCTTCTAATTTCCTTGTCCCATCTTCTGGATATGATTTTGGTGGTGCAGGAAATATCCATTTACCTACAGTAACATCCCCATTGCTATCATCATCATCATCTCTAGTCAGATCTATACCAACAGTTGTATCTATAAATCTCTCTGATCTGAGAACTCTGTCAGCAGCACTTATTCCATTCATGTCTGAACTATACTTTTCATCATCTACTGCCCTTGATGGTTTATTCAAATGTCTTCTTTCATTCGTCAAAGGTTTACTCCTGTCATAGTTATCTCCACATACTGCAGTTGAATCAATGTTATGAACTTGAACTAATTCTACAGAGTCCTTTTCCTTTTTATTTGAGCCAAAGTTACCTCTTATTCCAAGTTCCTTTTTCATTTTATCTAATGTTAGTTGACAAACATTGTTATCATCTTTAGTTGATCCACTAAAGGAAACATTTGCCTCCTCGTCCTCCTCATCAATAACAATTACATCATCAGCAGCACCAGGACTTTCATTGTTACTTGAACCTGCAGAAGTGTCATGAACATTTTCATGCATCTCCCCTGTTGATTTCTCTGTATCTATTGCACCACCAGTTTTACTCAAGTTTTCTTTATTCCTTTCTTGTAAGTGTTCTTCAGAAGTCCTTAAGTCTACATCTGGGAGATCAACAACGGTATCAGCATTTGTTCTTTCTTGTCCTGAGGTACCTGTATCTAATGTTTTACTTTGAGAGCCAATATCCTGAGATTCTGAACAGGCAGTTTTATCACTCTTTGATTCAGTTTTACCTAACTGTTCCAAATTGTCAGATCCACCAACTAATTCAGATACAATAGTCTTTGTCTTTTCAGTAAGGGATTTAGTTCCTTTGATTTCATCATATGATAATGGTTTTCCATCAACATATGGTAAAGTTCTATCTGAGTCATACCCATTTGACTTTTCATCATCAGAGCACAAGTTTATACATTCACTTGATGAGAGTCTTTTCTTTTTCATTGAGGCCTTACTAGCACTAGATTTTGGTGAGACTGTTTCACTTTCTATAAAATCAAAAAGATTCCTATCCTTTTTACTGGTCATTTTTGTTTGAGATTCCTTAGAAGTTTCTGACTGCTTCTCACTTGAGGAAGCTGTATTCTGAAAGAATGGTGTAACACAAGAATTTCCACAATACTGATCCTTGCATACAAAGTGAAATAACCTGTTAGCGTCCACTTCTGAAATAATAATAAACTTGTCTGGTATAGTTTTAATCACTTTTCTTTCCACCAAATTTTTTACCACATAGTCATAAAACAAGGGTGCTAACTCAATATCTGGTATCTTTAAAACTTTTCTTTTTAGAATTCCAATTTTACTGAATTTCAGACTTTTGTTTGGTTCTTGAATTCGAAAACATCGTCTTAAAATTTCCTTCATTATAAAAAAGTAACCATCCGGTGTTATAAGCCGGGTGACAGTTTTGCCATGATAACGGACCCATGTCATTTTATGTGTATCTGTAACCGAGTAAACTTGAGTACATGATCTACTTTCAGTGTCTGATATTTTATTCTCAGATTTGTCACTATCAGAAGGGTCTGTTTCCTTTTGAGTTAGAGTTGTATTTTCTTTAATACTTTCATCAGTTGCAAGTTTAATCTCTCTACCTGCTTCCTCACTTTGTTCTGAGATTTTTTCCTTAATTTCATCTGAATTAATATTTTTATTGATTTCTGTATGAGATGAAGTATCTTTCTCTTCATTGCCTAACACTTTTGCTGATAGTTCAGTTTCAGCTTTTTGTTTTTCTCTAGTTGGCTCCGTTCTACCAGGCTCTTCACTATTTGATTCTTCACCGATTTCTTTATCAAGTTTTTCATTAATATCATCAACAGGTGGCTCATACTGATTATGCTCTTTATTATTCACTTCACTCATAACATCCATATCTTCAGCAACATTTTTTGTATCACCAGTAGCACTATTCACACTATCATTGTCACTTTCCTGATCTTCTTCATCAAAACCAGCATTAGCTTTAGCCTCAGTCCAAGCTAGCATCATTTTTAATGTTGATAAACTGACTGTGGTTTTTTCCAACTCTTCATGAGGTAGATTATCCATTAATGTTTTCAGATCTTGTGGTTTTTGTATGACTTGACCATCTAACCCTGATATACTGGGTGACTCAGATCTTTCATGCTCAGTGTTTGTTGCAGAACTTTCATCTGTTTCAATGATCGCCCTCGCTCGAACTCTTTTACCTCGGCCTCGACCTAATTAATGAAAGCAAATATCATCTTGAACATAATGCAAGAAAAAGAGTATGTTTGTTTGTTTGGGTTTTACGTCATACCGACACAGTATAGGTCATTAGGCGACGTTTCAGCTTAACTGGTGGAGGAAGACCTCAGGTGCCCTTCCGTGCATTATTTCAGGCACGAACAGTCACCTGAGTAGAACCACCCACGTTCCGTAAGCTAGCTGGATAGCTTCTTCACATGAAGGAATCCTAAGTCCCTGTAGGGATTCGAACCCACAGTGGTGAGGGGCAAGTGGTGTGAAGTCAACGACCTTGCCCACTCGGCCATGGACGCCCAAGAAAAAGAGTAGAGCCAGCAACTTTTATCAAGTATAAGCAGAATGGTAAGGTGTTGCTTCAGGAGGAATATAATTACACACTGACTATATTAGAGGGAAATATTTCATCTTTTGTGCATACTGGTTTCAAAGAAAATGCCAATTATATAATCTTAAAATCTTTGAATAAATGATATATATAATATTCTGATGGATATTTTATTTAGAGACACATTATGTTTCTGAAATGCTTTTATTTTTATTTCTTTCATGCTTTTTATTTGGTCTTTGGCTTCTGTTGCTTTTAAGCAATAAGTTAATTTATTTTGGTGTAGTATTTTGTATGGAAATTAAAATACAATTTTGTTTAAACTTTACATTAAAATGTTACTTTGTGGACAAATAATTTTCTCTACCGCATTTCTTTCTTCAGGTGATTAGCATGTAACATGCCCTTAGTCCATTATTTTAAACAGTATAAAACTCATAAAAAGTTTCATCTCTGCTCTTTCTAAAGAAAGAAAAACTATTTGTTTCTGAGGATGTTCTGAGGCATAACTTTGTGCCTTTAAAACAGAAGACTTTAATATTTTTCCAATGTACACTAAAAATAAACAAGTGACATCTAGGACTTAACATCTTCAACTTTGTAGGGCATTAATAGAAAATTTTGGTATCTTACTAAGCACTGGGCCATTATTTACAGAATATAAAGTTAAGGTTATTTTTGCATATTGCGATAGATTTAGGTAATCTATAGTTTTTTAGAACCTTATACAGTTCAGTGCAGTGAACATTTTTGACATTCAGGTGAGAATAGCTGACATGCTTACAATAATATATTTTTTTAGAATGTTTCATGGCTCAAGTCTAGTCTTGTTATACTTCTTGTTACATGTGGCACAAGCCAGCTTACATACAAACAGATTAAAAGAGCAAACACAAAATGTACAAAATACATTTTTTTATACTTTAGGTTAGCAAATCTGTAAATTCTAAAAATTTCAAATTTTTATTAATAACTTATGACTGTTTACTTATTCAAAACAAACAATTACAGTGTACATGTACATAAAAGCAAACCTCTGTGTGTTCCACCAGCTTTCATGCCTCTTGTAGGCTTGTTCTGTTTCTTCTTATTTCTAGGTGTAATGCTTGAAGCCCAATTCTTTCCTAAGAAAAGATATAAAGAAAACCGTAAAAAGCTTCATTTCTTGTTGTGCACAGTTTTGGCTCTTTGACTGATTTATATCAGATGAAGTTCACATTTGGGAGATGAGTTTACCAGAAAAACACGAGTCAATGATTGTTACAGGTGAATGGAGTTCAATGACTTTAAAATGAGCAGATTTATCAATAAATGTAACAGAAGGTAAAAGATCTTAAAATGAACATGCTTATCAATAAATGTAACAGAAGTTTAAAGATTGCTGCATCAAAATTGTGGTGAGTCATTTAACATAAACATGAAGATCAACAACAATGTTAAACAGTTTACATAAGCTTAATCTACAATACTGAATAAAAGTTTCAGTTTTAAGTCAAACGAAAGGGCCATAATAGTCTTTAATTGCTCACATGAGGATTGGATTTGCATGGACAAGATTCAAAATTAAGTCATTTGTAAAGTTTCATCAAACTAAACCAAGAGGATGTTTTTATTTTAAGACTTATTTCAATATTTATCATGCTGGCAGTGACTAATTATTTAATCAATGTGTGTAAAGTATTACCTAAAGAAATCAATCAAAATTATCCATGTAGTTGAGTAGAAAATTTTGTTTAAAGCTTATTTCTATCATTTAATTTTAGAAGATGAGTTTAGCATTTTTTTTAGAAGGTAAATGATAATTCATTAACACTATCATCAAAACTGATCAGAAGATTACAAGGAGATATCATTAAAAGTGTATTATTATAAGCTCTGGCAGCAAACTAAAATAACTTATATATCTTTTTTATAACTAGAAATGTGTCCATAGGACACGGGTGCCCCCACACTCCACCGATTTGTCAATCTTATGTCTCTAGGTCAAATTTTTTTTTTGGCTACATGTGCCCAAGTTGAAAACTAAAAATCTTTTATTAAGTAAAGGGCAAATACTACAAATACTGAATAAATCCACAAGAAAACCCTAGGGTGCATAAGTACACATGCTGACCAACATTCTTGTAAACTTTCAGGCCTACAGGTCAAATACTTTTTGAGTTAAGTGCAACACAAGTTGAATATTGTAAATTTTTACTTAGTAAAGGGCAATAACTCCACATGAAAGTACCCAGGTGCACAACTACACATGCTGAGCAACATTCCTGTAAGGTTTCATAACTCTAGGTCAAATACTTTTTTAGTTATGTGCGACACAAGGTGAAAATTGGAAATTTTTACTATTTCAAGGGCTATAACTCTAAAAATACAAAATACATCCACACAAAAATACCCAGGTGAACAACGACACATGCTGATCAACATTCCTGTAAGGTTTCATGACTGTAGGTCAATTACTTTTTGAGCTACATGCAACACAAAAAGAGAACGGAGGGACAGATGGACAGACATACTCACAAAATGGTTCTTATGTGACTTTTCCTTTGATTTTTTTGGCCATTTTTAGTCACACAAGGCTTAAAAAAAGACACACAAGTAAAAACGGAATGAATAGGATCAAAGAGAATTTACTGTTACCCATTGTTCTCCAAGTCACACAAGTACCTCTGGGTTTGTACAGAAGGACGGACGAATGGACAAGGGTAAATCTAAATTCCCCCCCCCCCCCTATAGTCGGGGCACAAAAATCAACATTGGCTAAGTAGTGGAGGAAAAAACCTCCTTTAAAGTTTATTACTATTTTTTGCACTATTTTTTTGCACAAGAGGCCATTTTGTACAGTAGACAAATGATTTCACCAATGTTTGTAATGGCTGACCTTATGATCATTTATATCTAGTGTCACTAAAATCTACATTGCAGTAGAGGAAATGTTTAAAGGTTTTTATGTTTCGGTCTGGAAGCCGTCATATCTAGCAGTCAAGAAAATTTTTAGCAATTTTTATAATGGAAAACCCATTAAATGCCTCCTGTATAGTTTCATCACTATTGTCCAAGGGGCTTAAGAGATGACTAAGTTGAATGATTACAAATGATGATAAATGACAGAAGCCAGACACAAGGCAATCACAATAGCTCACTCAGATGAGTAAAAACAAATACCTCTTCCCCTAGTGTGACCTCCTCTGCCCCGACCTCTTGCTCGCTTTACAGGAGGTTTACTTGAATAACTGTCACTGATAGAGCTGTGCTTCCTTTTTTTAGTCAGCAGAACAGGTACCTCATCCCTGTCTATTTCAACAGTTGGCTCAGGTAATTCCTCTGTTTCCATATTACTGTCTTTCTCCCCTATGACTTCACTAGAATTATCTTCTAATTCATTTTGAAAATGGATTGGCAACTCTTTGGTTGCATCATTTGAAATAACATTTAATTCATTGTCAGTGAGACTCTGTTCCTTATGGGATGGAATTTCCATTTCTGGTAACATAGGTGATGGTGTAGCAGAGATGTCTGTAGGAAGATGGAGTTCAGGCAGATAATTTCGGAAGTCTATATCAGGATCCATATCCTGAGTCCCAAATTGATAATCAAGCACCAGTTCATCTGAAACTCTTTTATTTATATCAAAAAATGAATCTGTTTTACTTAACTGTTCATCAGAACTTTCAGTTCCTTCCCTTAAATCACTTTTTCTCATCTCTACATTTTCTGATTCTTCAACAGATGGTTCAGTGGTATACATAGGTAACACTGGTATTTCTTGCTGTCCATTTCTGTCAGAGATACCAGTTTCACCAGAACATTCATGGTTTGTGTCCTTATTAGGTTCAACTGTTGTTTGTTCATTGCCTTTTTCTGCTTCCATATTTTTTGCTATTTGTGCCCTCACTGACTTTGGAAGACACCGTAACAAATCAGCTACCTTGTATTCTATCACTTCTTCTGTGCAGACTGTCGGTCTTAAAACAAATGGCTCTGTGGCTTGACTTGCAGAAGTACTTGTATTTGTAGGGAAATCTGCAGGTGTAGTGACTGTTGCCATGGCTACAGTTTGTTCTATATTTTTCTCTAGAGTACTAGATCCTGCTGTTATTGGAATCTGTGTGGACATACCCATTTCAGCTGATGGTGCAGCATACCAGCGTCCTAGTGCCGCCCTATCATTTAAATCATTGGACTGCGGGATAGCAAAGGCTGAATGGATGGCGGAGGCATTATCAACACCTCTCATTGGCTCTGTGAGAGATCTAGCTATTGCTGTGGCTGAAGTCTGAGCAGTCAAAGAAGGGCTATTAACTAAGGGCTGTGATTGTTGTTCTCCTAAAATCCTATTTCTCTCTCTAATAGCATATTTTGCCAGAAAAGCTGGAAATGACTCATTCGGGCCAAGCAGTCCACTTCTTTGGCATTTTTCTTTTATTTTCATAAGTTTACGCTTGGCCTCAGAATCACTGCTGTCACTCAGGTTTGCTAAATTGGCTATTGTCTGAACAACACCTGCTAATTTGGCATTTTGCCAACTGACTGGAATGTCAAGACCTTGACTCCCACTCACTGATCCAGTTGGCTGCTGATTCTGTGTTTGAAATAAATTTTGTCGTTGAGCATAAATATCTTCTTGACTTATTGTTTGCTGATTTCTATTAAAAGGGTTTTGACCTTGATAGCCCTGACCAACGGCCATTCCCATTGGTACTTGACCTTGTGTCATATGACCTGGCAGAGATCCCATCCCGTAATTACCTAATGACTGTGACACTGTGGGATAAGACGAGCTAGTCTGTGATTGTCTAGGAATACTGCTATGACCTTGACTTTGGGTGTGCATTGGTCCTGGTTGCCGTGGGTAACCAGTCGGTAGCATCTTCGGAACATTTTGGTGAGCTGGTGGAGGAACAGGAAGACTTGGATTCATGGAATACTGGTTTGCAGTTGAACTATAATTCTGAGGCCTCTGCATCTGAGTAAAAGTGAAATTTGGGGCAAAATTAGATTGACTCACAGAAGGTCTATTTTGAGTCATAGTATTTGGCATACGAAAAGAGTTATTAGCAAATATAGGATCAATTCTCTCTCCTTGGACACTACTCAGCGCATTCATTTGATTGGCCAGTCCAGGATATCTATATTGGGGACACGCTTGACCAGGAAAATGACCTTGACCTTGATTGACAGGATAATTGATTTGTTTATCTTGCTGTATCTTGTGTCCAAGTGCTTGTCTAATCAAGGGATCTCCTTGAACTCTTGCCATGGCTACTGGATGCCTCATGGCACTAGGTATGCTTCCTCTCCAATCTGGAAAAATAACAAAAAATTAATCATCTTATATTTGTGAAACTGAAACTATTTCTTCTTTATGTACAATACATTCTGGGATGTTTTAGCCAGAATTTCTGGATAAAATATTAATCGGTTGAGATGTGATTCTGAACAATAAAGATTGTGTTGAAGGATTATTTAAAGATGCTTAATTTATTGCAGGTTTTTAAGCTGAAGTGCTAATTATTTTTTGAGTTATAAATACATTTGACAGGTTATATAGCCCTAATAATATTGCAAATGGATTTCTTGAATATTTGTTTGGCTTAAATACTTTACATACTATACTGTAAAAACCATGAGGAACCAAAGAATGCATAAATATCAATGGTTTCTACATCATAGAGTATCATCTATGTGCGCATGAAATTTTGTTTGTGTGTTTTGTTCTTTATGGCATATTTCTCAATTCAAATATCATTACAAAACATTAGAACCAGTTGAATCGGGTGATGCTCCCCGAGAAGGTTTTGGACACAGGAAAGTATATAAAAAAATGAACAAAGGGCAAAAGCTCCAAAATTAGACAAGGCAGAGTAATGGTTTTTTGCACTGCACTTCTATTCAATCAGATCTATCTATATTTAAAGTATCGTGATGATATCTCTTATAGTTTCAGAGTTTATGTCCCTGGTAAAATTCAAAAGTGTAAAAATGAACAAAGGGCAATAACTCCAAAATTAGACAAGGCTGTGTTTAGGTTCTTCAGCATTGCAGTTCTACCAAATGAGATCTATCTATCAAAGTTTCATGTTGATATCTCAAATAGTTTTAGAGCTATGTCCCGGACAAAAGTCAAAAAGTAAAAATAAACAAAGGGCAATAACTTCATAATAAGGCAAGGCAGAGTTATGGTTCTTTAGCACTGCACTTCTTCCCAATCATGGCAATGAGACCTATCTACCTACAAAGTTTCATGTTGATAACTCTTATAATTCTACAGTAATATCCCAAACAAAGTTGAAAGTGTCAAAATGAACAAAGGGCAAAAACTCCAAAATTAGGCAAGACAAATTTATGGCTCTTTAACAATGCACTTCGACTCAATAAGATCTATCTACCTACAAAGTTTTATGTTGATATCTCTTATACTTTATGAGTTATGTCCCGGACAAAGTTCAAAGTGTAAAAATAAACAAAGGGCAATAATTCAAAAATTAAGCACGGCAGAGTAACGGTTCTTGTGCACTGCAAACCTACTAAATAAGATCTATCTATCTGCAAAGTTTCATGTTGATAAATCTTATAGTTTTAGAGTTATGTCCCAGACAAAGTTCAAAGTGTAAAAATAAACAAAGGGCAATAATTCAAGTAATAGGCAAGGCAGAGTTACGGTTCTTGTGCACTGCACACATACTCAATGAAATCTATCTACCTACAAAGTTTCATGTTGATACCTCCTATAGTTTTAGAGTTAAATGTCGCGGACAAAGTTCAAAGTGTAAAAATACACAAAGGGCAATAATTCATAAATAGGCACAGCAGAGTTACTGTTCTTGTGCACTGCACACCTTCTAAATGAAATCTATCTACCTACCAAGTTTCTGTTGATACCTCTCATAGTTTTAGAGTTATGTCCCAGACAAAGTTCAAAGTGTAAAAATAAACAAAGGGCAATAATTCAAAAATTAGGCATGGCAGAGTTACGGTTCTTATAGTTTTAGAGTTATGTCCCGGACAAAGTTCAAAGTGTAAAAATAAACAAAGGGCAATAATTCAAAAATTAGGTACGGCAGAGTTACGGTTCTTATAGTTTTAGAGTTATGTCCCAGACAAAGTTCAAAGTGTAAAAATAAACAAAGGGCAATAATTCAAAAATTAGGCATGGCAGAGTTACGGTTCTTATAGTTTTAGAGTTATGTCCCGGACAAAGTTCAAAGTGTAAAAATAAACAAAGGGCAATAATTCAAAAATTAGGTACGGCAGAGTATATATAATGTATATTATATAACATACATTGACAATTAACAAAATTGATATATATACCTTTTTATTTAAAACTTCCTGAGTGACAGGGAATTATAATTTGTATATCTCTACAGTATTTAACAACTAGTTGTCCTATTTCTGTTATGAATGATCACATATAAACCATTATCTAATACGATCTCTATGACCTTGTTCTATCTTTGTAACTTGCAACACATGCTTTTATCTCATTATGTTCTATAATACTGAGTCACTACCACACTATATCTATATCATAGATTTGTCCTGATTATGTATTCAGATAAAGTACGGGGTTTCTGTACTAGAATTCTAAACTTCAGGAGATCACAGTACAGTCTGGTTAGACTGCCCTGACTTAATAATGTTAACATAGACAATTAATTAATATTTATCATGTTATATGTTTGTAACTGATTTGTACGACTTTGAAATTCAGAGATTAAGGGATGTCAATATCAAAATATTAAAACTTTCGAAGGCAATATTATTACAACAAGTTTTTAGCATACTATTGAAGCAACCTCTTAGATTAAAAAAAATTCTGACCACAAAATTGTGACTTGATACAGGTCTATTTGACCAAGGATGTAATACATCAATTATGTAAACAATATAATTTACTATATCAGAGAAGATTTTGGAAATCTTGTTTCAATACAAGTCATTGAAAAGAATCAAAACAATATCTTAGAAATATTGATTGTGAAAGATACCGTAAAATCCCGATTTAACGCCCCCACCCTAATTAACGCCCCCACCCACTTTTGAAAACCTGGTGTATAATTTAAACAAAGAAAATAAAAGAAAATAAAGAAACTCTCTTACTTGTTCAGAGATTTATGGTACATTCAATATCATTCCATTTATGAAAAATATCCATGAATCAAACACTTTAAAGTTCACATAAACAGAGTGTAGTCATCAGGGGGAATTTTTGGGAGGAAAATTAGAGATAGCTCATGGTGTAGATCAAAGGTATCATGGATTGACAGGGTGATGTTGTGCTTGTGGCTTTTTTTTACATCGTTTGAAGAGAGATTTTTTTTTTATTTTTTTTTAATCTTTTTTTTTAAATCTTTATTAAACATAAAATGTTACACTCCCAGGGGCGTTAAATCAGGATTTTACGGTATTTATTTTTTAAGATAAATAGAAAATATTTGTTTGTTTTCAGTTATCATTATATCCGGGGGGAAGAAAGAAAAACTGTAATATTTGTGGATACTTTCTCACTTTGATGTGCAATATATATCATAGTCACAAAAAAAAACATTTATTTTCATATTAGAATAAAAACAATGTTTCACTGATTTCATAGTAGCACTGGAAAAACACGTAAAGAAGATGATGTAAGACGTTCAACAGCTACTCTAACATTGAGCTGTCATAAGTAATTCAAGTTTGTAATCATTATCCCATATTTATAATGAAATAATGCTATTTGAATTGAAATATGCCATTTAGAACAAAACGCCACAATTAACTTACATAAATTTATAAATTAGGATAGATAGATACATGACTTTAATGGCCTAAAAATTCTCAAGTTTTTACTATGGCTGTAGGTTAAATATTGACCCATTTCCTGGGTTCCCTGTGTTTTAAATGTAGTGTTGTCTACTTTGTAGAGTTGAATTATTCTCCAGGGAGTCAATATTTGAGCCGCGTCACAACAAAACCAATATAATGGGTTTGCAAACAACATGGATCCAGACCAGCCTGCGCATCCACGCAGTCTGATCAGGATCCATGCTGTTCACTATCAGTTTCTCTATTTGTTATAGGGTTTGTAAGCGAACAGCATGGATCCTGATCAGACTGCGCAGGCTGGTCTGGATCCATGCTGGTCGCAAACGCATAATGTTGGTTTTGTCATGACACGGCTCATTTCAATCTCTCCCCCACCTGCCTCCCCAAAAAATAAAAGAATGATAAATAAAGCATACTCTGTCCATATTGCTGAGCACTTGTGGGACCAGGGTATCCAAATCTTGTATTTGATTGGTTTGGTATACTGCTGGTTCCCATACTGGCACCAATGTTATTCCCCATACTGTTGACACCCATACTTGGTGGTGCTGTATTGACTGTAAAATAAAAATCATACCCAATGATTCATAACTCTTAACCTTCTAAAACTGACAAAATTAGTCATTACAAATAGAATACAGTCAGAAAAACCTGTGCTGCAAGTCTAACCAGGCTTTATACTGTTTGAAGTTCAATATTTATATTCTGATTTTGTCAAAATAGCAAATATTTTAAATATGACGTCAGTTGAGTCAAAAGTTTTCAGCTATACAAAGTAACACAAATATATTGAACAATATTTCTATTTGAAATATTTGACCTAATGACCCCTATATCAATAGAGGTCCTCTGTCTATCATACAGTCAACATGTAAAAAATTTAACTACAATAAATTTCAAGGTTATATGGAATATAAAATGAGTTAGTTGTACCAACCAAGCAACATAAAATAACAATAAACAAACAGACAGATCATTTTAACTGAGTGTAACAAATTATATGTATGATGCAGATATGTATCATATGATTTAACCTCTAACCTTCCACAGCTGTAACTATATATCACCATAAACAAGAGCTGTCACAGGAAACAGCGAAGCTCGACTAATAAAATACTGGACGCAGTAAGGAAGATAAAACTAGGAAAGAAAAATCAATTATGTATAATTATGTATTAAGTTATAGTAAAAAATAACATTGTTAACATAAATTCCAAGATCAAGGGGAATAATTCTGGAAATAGTCACGCTAGAGTTATGAACCTTGTCAAACAACATATGTGTAAGGATAAGAAATATATATTTGAAGTTTGAAGTAGGTCCTTAAAAAGTAAAGAAGTTATAATATTTCTTAAAGAAAGTCCTAAGTTCAAAGAGAGATAAATCTGTAAATATTGCTTCAAGAGTTATGAACCTTGTCACATAAAATGTAATTGATGATAAGGAATAATTATTTGAAGTTTGAGGTAGATACCTTTAAAACTAACAAGAGCGATCAGTGATCACATGTGTAGCCTTATGATGGCCAATTTCATGTTGGGACAAGTTTTGTGACAGACAGACAGACGGACAGTGCACAACTAGACTTGGTACTGATCATTCCTGTAAAGTTTGGATGAAACTGCACCAGTAGTTTATGAGGATTAGTCCGGACAATATGTGCAATATGCGCAAGGCCTTAAGCTACAGATCAATCCTGTAAAGTTTCATTGAAATTGCATTTGTGGTACATTGTATAAGAGAAGTAGTCCGGACAAACTTTAAAAATAAAAATTATTAAAGGGCCATAACTCTGACAAAAATCACTGAACCGGAAAATGCTGACAATATGCACAACTGCACTTGGTACTGATCATTCCTGTAAAGTATGGATGAAATTGCACCAGTAGTTTATGAGGAGTAGTCCGGACAAGCTTTTGTGTATCTGGCAACACACAGAAAAAAAACACCTTTTTATCTAAGGGCCATAACTCGGCCAAAAATCATTCAACCGGAAAACCTGTGCAATATGCGCAAGGCCTTGATTAATAAGAAATAAAGAAGTAACAGTAAAAAATAGTATTTTTAAGGAAAATTCTAAGTTCAAGGGGATATAAATCTGAAAATATTGGTGCTAGAGTCATGAACCTTGTCACATAAGATGAGGTTGATTATAAGGAACATATATTTGAAGTTTGAAGTTGATACCTTAAGAAATGTCAAAGTTATAGTGAAAAATATTTTACTGCACTTTAATCAGAAATCTTGATCAATGCGGATGCTGATATCAGGGCGAGTAGGACAGCTCTCCGTATAGTCTAGCTAATAATTAATTACTTGTACTAGGACACCTGACAAGAAGATAAATGCTTACCATTCACTTGATTGTATATAAATTATATATAAGATCTATACATTGTAACTTTATAAGAGAAAATTAATGAAGCAGATACATGATTTTTTTATTGAATCAGAGACATAATGACCTTTTTTCAATCTTCAACTCATTCTCTGGTATAGAATGTATGGAATATACACCTTTGTTAATAAACTGTCAATGCCTTAAACCAAAAAAAAATATTTTTCTGATCTTTAACCTCGAACAGCATGTGATCTTAACCTTAATTATAGGGTCTGTATATAACAATCCACCTCAAAATGGTGATCATAAAAACCACAAAAATAAGCTGATACAAAAACGATTATTATGTTACAGCTAGTTCAGGTTTAAGTTGTCATTAGAGACAGACAGATCTAGAGAAAGGTCAAAACAATATGCCCAACAACTGACCATCAATAAATCTGAAAGCATTATTGGATTAAAGAAATAAATTTGTTTCCATATCACCAGTCTGTTAGTTTCTAACACAACAGATATCTACAGTAATTGTATTTATAAAATCCATTTACCCAGAAAATTCATGCAAGATTGATTCATTGGACATGGACATGAAAGCTTCAATCAGTGACATTAAACCTAAAACAAGAGTTATTAGAGGAGCAGTTCTCTTCAAACACTTGTCTCAGAACTTAATAAGTTAATAGTATGAACCAAACTAGAAAGAGGGAAAATAACTGCAAAGGAAATTATCTGTCCTATCAATCTAGAAAACAAGTATTTCAAGTTTAAAGTGAATATCTATGATGATGGTTTTTTTTAGTAAATTAAACAAGTATACAAAGGAAAATTAAGTAAAAGTGACCTTATATAATGCCATTTAGAACGTGTTCCAATTTCAAAGTGATTAACTTTGATACAGGTCACTGTGATCTTGACATTTTGAGCTAATATTCAGTGTGACAGGTAACACTCAGCAAGGTGCATCAACATAATTATGATGTTTCAATGTTATATAGCTTTGTTAGTATTGAAGTAAATGAATATACACTAAAACTACCATAAAGCTTATTCATAGCTGACACCTACAAGATGGTCATGACAATACCTCCATGTCTTTTGTTTGGAAAGTGCATGAACCTAATAAATTCTGTGTGTCAAAACTTGAAACTTGTAAATCATATCATGGTTGATGGTACGGCAGTACTGCTGCAGCTCAAGTTATAAAATTAACAAGTTTCCAGAAGAGAAGACCTACCATTTCTAGAGGGTATGTTTGTTGTTGGGTATGATTTAAGAGATCTTCTGAAATGATTTTCTATAGCAGCATTGAATTTCTCTGTAAGAAAATAAGGATAAAGCAATATCTAGCAACAAAATGCATTCCTATGAAAAGCAACTTACAAAATATAATCTGATAGCATTAACACATCCCTTATAAGCCCAGATGCACATAACCATACCCTCATATTAAATGAGTCAAACTAAAAATACTGTATGTTAAGATTAGCTGACATTGGATGCACCAGTCAGTTGTAACAATAGCATTTTCATCTCCCAACCAATAGTGGGCACTTAAACTTTCAGATATTTTAACCCCTGGTAATGGATATACCTGATAATGCAGAAACAGTCATACAGTAAATCATTATGCATGAAAAATGTCTCATACTCAAACACAGACAGAACCAAAACACCACACTGACAGAGTCAGACAATGTAAAAACCTTAATACTCCCAACTGATCTAGGAACTTAGCTTAATCCTCAAACTGCTCAAAGAAATTGGCTTAATACCCCCCTCTCCCAAACTTATCCAGGAATTTGGCTTAATCCCCCCCAACTGATCCAGGAACTTGGCTTAATCCCCCAAACTGATCCAGGAACTTCAGGCTTAATCCCCCTCAACTGATCCAGGAATTTCAGGCTTAATCCTCCTACTGTTCAAAGAAATTAGCTTAATACCCCCCCCCCCCCCACCAAAATTGATTCAGGAATTTGGCTTATTAATATTTCCCTAACTACTCAAAGAATTTGGCTTAATCCCCCCCCACATTGCTTCAGGAACTTGGCTTAATTCCCCCATTACCATAGGATGGAAGACTGGCTGATGATTATAACTGACTTGTGCAATAAGCATTTGGTGAATAAGTATTAAACATAATACAGGGTAACCTCTACCGAGCTGTCCTATGTTGAGCAATAGCTTTCATCAAATCTTCCAAAGATTTAACAAGTAATTTTTACATTTCTACAGCAACACCTGCCAGCAACAATTGCAATATTTTGAACATTTTCATCTAAATGTCAGTTGCTCAGCAGAGGTTATTCTGTACACACAAATTATTATAAAGAAATGTCTGTAAACTTGAAAATCAAAACATGTGTATGTAAGTATAAGCAAAGCAAAAAGAATAAGTTAGTTTGGATGACACAAATATAGTGGCAAAATAAGTTATTTAAATTCATTTTTAGCATTCATATATACATAAGAACTTAACCTTTACGCAACAAATTGGTACAGTGGACTTCTCTCTGTCTGCTTTTATACCTGCTGATTCTTCAAGTTACCAACCAAATAACTGACTAGCAAGCAGTACTAGCAAGCAGTACTAGCAAGCAGATTTTTAAACTTTTTCAATTAAAATTCTAAAAACATGTTAGAATGGAAATTTAATACCCACACCAAAAGCTTCACAGGTGTTTGAGAACAAAAGCCGAAGAAGGCAACCAATGGTAATATGTACAAAAGTTTGTCTATGATATAGACCATGTTCCAAATGGAATGTGAATAAGATGGAAATACCTTCTTGTGATGCCGTTGTTGATGATGTGTGTCCATGCCTAACAAGAGGTGGGGGAGGAGGTAAATTATGTCCTGGTGTTTGTAAACTGTGTCCTAAACTATGGCCTGGTTGCTGCAAACTATGTCCTAAACTATGGCCTGGTTGTTGTAAACTGTGCCCTAAACTCTGTCCTGGTGGTAATACATTTTGTCCTATATCTTGTCCTGGAGGAAGTAAATTCTGTCTTGGTTGTGATAAATTCTGTCCAAGTGGTGATAAAGTCTGACCAGGTGAGTGTAAGCTGTGTCCAATTGATGGTAAATTCTGTCCTGTGTCTAAATTGCTTCCTGTAAAAAATAATAAATAAATTCAAAGGAGGCCTGAAATATAAAGAAATAGTTAACTGACATAATTGTATGGAAGAGTGAGTGAGTATAGATTTACAAATAAAAAAAATATTCATGAAACATTATTAACAAGATCATCGCAAAAACTGGGCAATTAATGGCCTGGATACACATTTGTAAAGGAAATTCAAAAATAAAATTAATGTCAAAGAAAGATAACTAACACTGTAACAGTTCATGGAACTTGTCTGAAACATGTTTTACAGCAATAAATCTTATAATACTTGCTGACCTGACACTAAGTGCATGATTCATATTTTTACTTTTGTAGAGGCCTACAAGGCAATGCTACATGCCAAATATCCAAGCTTTGGGCATAGTAGTTTTCATCAAGAAGATTGTTTTATATAAGTCATATAAACTAAATGTCCCTTTTATGCTGGGCCTTTTTTTACCTCATGGTCAATATTGTCTGAACTTTTGCAGAGGACCATAAGGCAAGGCTGCATACAAACAAAATATCTATATGATAAGAGGTTTTTTTTTTACTACGATACTTGTTTATATTATAAGCCAATGTAAACTAAGAGAAATATCAAGACTATTTTTTCCCAAAGGTGCAAATTGATATATAGAACTTTTGTAGAGAATGATGACCACAAAGTGATGTAATATAAGTCTATGTAAACTAATAGAACCAGCACAAGTGAAAATCAAAATTATTGATATAAATATAAAAACAAATGTAGGAAAAAATACTTTATCTCTGTAGAGCCCAAATGATGTCAAAAAGCCAGTAAAAAATAATTTAATTTTCACATAGATTAAGTGAAACAGTTAAAATGGAAATTAAATTTGAAATTGATAGTTTGTGCAATTCTTAGCCGAATAATAGATCCCTACTCTGACATTTTATTTGAATAACAATAGATTAAACCAGAAACATTGACATCTGTTCCTTTGTTAACAAAAATGTTGTGGTGAAATTCTTATTGTAATCCACTAATCTGATAATTAGAATTAGACAGGTTAAGGATTTATGCATTTGAGTGAAAAGATTTGCAATGTTTTTTGTTTTTGGGTCATTTTGCCAAAATAAAATTGATATATCTGGTAGAATGTTCTAAAAAATTTCGAACAAGTTATGGATACAGACCCGCATCAAATGGTAGACAAGTCTTAAAAAAGAATTTACAGTCCCATCATGTCAAAAACCTCAGTTCTGAGCCCCTTCGAACCACTGCATTTGTGACTGAAGGTTTGAAAATTTCAATTTAACAGAATAAGCTTGTAGTCCTGACCGAGTATAATCTCCCTTTGTTAAAAAATATTACAGCCCATATTAGGATTTTGAATGGCCCAATATGACCCTGACCTTGACCTAAGGATGCTTAAACATGCATTCTGTACAAAGTCTCACTATTATTAAAATTTCTGCTGAATAATTTCAATTTGCTTCCATCAATTCAAAAACATATAAAGCTGTAACTGGTTTTTATACCAAAAATTGTCTATACAAACTTTATTAAGTTATAAGGCCACCTTATACACATACAAATTTATAATACAAAATATACATTCTATGGATGCTACAAAATCAGAAATGTTTCAGACATATTATAAATACATATAACAAAATGACAACATTTTTCATAGAAAAAGTATAGGTACTTTAAATCATCTAAACTGATTGACAAAAATTGATCTTGTAGAGCAGACACACAATATTGAAATGTATACATAATGACAAAGAGTGACCTTCACCCAAGGAAGCCAAAACCTACACAGTCATATTATGGTTAACATTCCTGCCAATCAGTTTTAATTTCCTAATCTATCAGTTCAAAATATACAGAATGGACATGATTTTGCAATAAGACAAAAGGATGGACCAACGGGTGCATAACAGAATACAACATAATTCTCAGTTGTATATTAAGTGATCTGCTATAAATATCCCAATTTGAAACCAAAATGTTTGCTTGTTGTAAGCTTGCGACAAGCTTAATACCACAAATATTAAATATCAAAGGGGATTAGACAATCAAATCAAAAAGGAGAAAAGGTATAAATTCTCAAACTGTTGTGCAGATATCATATACAATGGAAAAAGAACAGATAAATTCTACAAAACATGCATGAATTGAAAAATAATAACCAAATGTTCAGAGGAACCATTTAAGACATAATGCCAAACATAAACAAGCACAAAGTCTAAATGTTCAAGGAATGGAAAGGCCTGAAGGGGAAATATATAAATTGGTAAAATAGACATTAATTAATAAAGAAAAATACAGAATAAATTAAAAATTTAACAATCTAATAATTTCACCTTGGTCAAGGTCATTTAAAGGTCAATGTTGTATCTGAATTACTTAAAATATAAGTTTGTTATGAGTGTTCTTTTGTCTAGGTTTGAATAAAATCCATAAATAACTTAGTTAATTATGGCCAAATGAAGAAAATTTACAAATTTTACCTTTACAGTTAAGGTCAATTTGATAATGGTCAAGTTCAATTAAAGTTTCTTTAATGTCTTGTCTGAGGATTGTTGTGCCCAAATATAAAGTCAAATACTTACCAAGTTATAGCCTGTGATATAGCAAAAGCTGTGAAATAACAATAAATTGACTTTCAAACTAAAGGTCATTTATAAGTCAAGGTCAAACTGATTTTGATTTTCTTCAGGACAATGTCCTTATGGCTGTTATGAAGACAATCCATTTGAACATGAAGGTCAAAGTCATTTACTTGTGAGGGTCATAGTTTAGTCTGGTCATCTTAAAAGTCCTGTCCAAAGGGTTGTTGGGTCCAAGTATGAAGGAAATCTATTGAGAAATAAAAAAAACAACTATGACTAACATTACATTTTTGGACGACAATGGCATTGGCATCGGCTACATTAACAGTAACATGAAAAACATGACTGTAGCAATAGCTCTTCTTTTTTTTTTTTACACAGTCGTGCTAAAAATGAATACAATTAAGCTGTCTAGCTAAGTACAGTTTTGGAAACTGTAAAAGAATACCCACAATATAAAACTTTTGTTGTTTAGCAATACTGACCTGAGAAATTTGAATAGTCAATGACCTAATTTGTGCGTTAATTATCTGATTTCAAAAATAAAATATTCGAATTTTCATGTAGGCAAAATGGTAAATGTATAACTTAAAATTATCATTATAACACGGTTCACACTTATAATTCCCCTACCAAACAGATAGGGCAATATTATACAATATATGCACAGCATAAAAAACAGATGCTAAATTACATGTTATGTGACGTCATATATTATTCTACAACAATGCACTCAAAATTGATACCATTGCCTAATAGACCCAGTGATTTGCAGTTTCAAACAGAAGCCAGTAAGTTCAAATAATGATGGAAGTTATTTTAATATGCCTTAATGCATAAAATTACTGCACCATTACAGTTCTGTCATACTTACAGCTTCAGGCCGTCAGATTGTAATTATTGATTACAGTATGATTACAGTATCAAGAACTAAACTATCATTACAGCCTGGTGCATAAAATAAATCGTAACAAATTACAGAAACTAATGAAAATAAATCAGTCACAGGTCAATATTGCCAAACAATAAAGAATGAAATTTATAGCAATTTGAGGTATACACATAAATGTATGATATCTCAGAAAGATGATTTATAAAATGTTAGCTACCAATTACTGCATGTACTGAAGTAATTGGGCATGTGTAAATAGAAAACCAGGGCTTCTATTTTTCCTTGAAATACTGAGGTTATTAATTTTACAGATCTGTAATAATTTTTCAGGAATTAAACACATCTTTTTAATATAATTATATTATCATATATATGTCAAAAATCTACAGAAACAAGTACAAATATTAGTTCTACACAAAATATACTGCACCCATCAATATTTTGCACTTTGTCAACTGTTGGGGTTGTACATTCAACTTACCATTGATGAGTTAAGATATTACGTTATTTTATGTATAAGCAGTAGTACTGCTGAGAATCTGACACAAAATAAAGATTACAGAATTTGCTAAGACTATTAATATTTTTCCGTATGATATGCTAGGTGAATTGAGATTTAAACATGTATCTTCCTGATCCCTAATCAAATGTAAATTATAACCTACCCCCTCACCAAGTGGGAATAGCTGAGACATTGACTTTTATATCCCAGGTAAAGGTCCTCCCAGCTTGAGGGAACATTCAGTCATTTGAAACTTTTCTAATCCTCTAATTGCCATGTTATTTATGATTGATAAATCTTTTTGCCAAAGATTTATCCCTCAATGAATTTGACCCAGCATTAAAGACACTGAGGCGTGATGAAAGAGGGCAAAGACAAGTAAAGAGTGTTACAAAAATAATTTAAAACACTAAGCCGGTTAAAATTTATTAGTAATTGTATTTACAAAAATAAATTGGTAACGCAGCTGCGCCACACCTGACCAATTTATTTTTGTAAATACATACTATTAAACTTTAACCTATACTTAAAAACTTGACTATAATTTCAACCACTGTTCCCTTCCCTGTAGATTGGAAAACTGGGTAACATTTGACTGGTGAATAAGGAAATATGCAAACAGAACAGGTCCTGGTGAATCTCTAGAGAAAGAGATATCAAATCCTTTCCCCTCCTGTATAAAATATTATTTATGTGCATTGAAGGAATCAATCATTCTGGGTATTTTGCCAATTTTCTTGTGCTCTTGTTGATAAGCTGCATTTAATGCTCTCAAATAAGTGTTAAAGTTTCAACCCATTCCCTTCAGTAGTTTTGAAGATTCCAAGTTGCTTGCCAGAACCTAACCTAAGTCTTACTACAATCCATTTAGGTGAGTACAATAATTATTGCTATTTCAATTTTTTTAAAAGTCGAGGATTAAATGAGAAATATGATCAAACAGTTGCAACTTTGATTCTTAGTGCAAAACATTGATAGCTGCATATCAAATATCTATAAGTGCATACAAATGATCTCCTCTACAAATTGTGCCCAAAATACAAACCAAAATACTTTCTCCACCGCATATTAGCTGCCAACATTTAGGGGGGAAAATCAGAACATCATAATTAGAGTAATTCAATAAAAATTGACTGCATTTATTTAAAATTTCCTAGTGGAAAACCCAACATGTCACTTAATCTATAAATAGTCTTTATGTGTCAACACTATAAATAGAATGTTCTTACTTGTCTATATACATACTGTGGTAACATTAAATCCTAGATTAATTTTTAAAAAAGTTTAAAAGCTTTTAAAAATTAAACTTGCTTCATTTTCTGAGTTTATAAATTTATGTCAGTAAGCTTATCAAACTGAGGGGAAAAAATCCAAATTAAATAACTTGTATGTGTTTTGAAATACTTCAGGAAGGAAATATTTTACCATACACTCTTGTATCTTGTTGTATCATATATAAATGACAATGAAAATATATTTCATATGTTTTACAATACATTATTATTTTCAAAACAGAGAGAAAAGTTTAAGGTGATCCATCTTTTCCTTATTCAAATAAAATCATTGTACTTCAAACATGAATATAAGTATATGCATATAGAGATCTGGTAAAACAATAATTATGTGATCAAATGGTAAAACATTGTTAGTGACATCTCCTCATCTTAACACATACATGTATATTAACATAAAATCTAGATTATTATCATCATTCAAAAAGTGTCATATTTCACTTTGTACGATAATTATCTTCTCCCATCTTTAGATTTTATATGCATGAGATGATTGCTGTACACATCAGGTAAGATTTCATTTTCTGATATGTCACCATGAAAAAAAACTGACCATTAAGAAAATAATCATCAAAAACTGACCATTAAATCTAAATAAATAAATCACCAACCCCGCTTTCAGCCCCCTAAAGAAAATTATATTCCAAAGGTCATTTAAATTTTGCTAATTTAATTCTGAAAGCAGTCTATTTGATCAGATTTAATGAGAAAAGAAAAAAAATCTAAATGGTAACCATGCACATACCTGTACCATAATGCACTCCTGCTGAATTTTGCACATAACCAAACTGTGGGTTTGGTTGACTAGGTAGATGACCCCCTTCCATAACAGCATTCTTAAACTCTCCTGAAAAATGTAAAAATATTCTCAATTTCAGTCCTTTTATGTCATTTAATATATACATGTATATTCTTCTATTTTTCTTTTCACAGTGTCTTGTACATACCTTTATTTCTATTATTTTGTTTTTCATTTACATTACCACCATTATTTACATCATCATCATCATTTTCACCCTTATCATTTATATCTGAATTCATACCCTGGTCCTAATTTTGTATATCTAAAAATCATATAAACTAATTGCTATTCAAATCATTTTAGTTTAAAAATTTTTTTTAAATATTCATAATACCAATTTTTTAGTTGAACACACCAACATTTTTTTTTCCTTTTTTGTTAATACCTTTACCACTTGACATAAAATATGAACCTTTTCCCTCAGGTATGTCACTTATACACATGTATGTCTATCCAATTATAGGGTTCAGTGACAATAAAAAAATATGATGTTTAGTTTTGAAATAAAAATTTCCTGATCTGAACATTTCAACATCTTAATATAGGTATTTACATATACCAATAAAAAAACAATAAATGTGACTATAAAGTCTTTAATCACAGGTAGCAATCATTCTATGAAGTTTGAATATTGTGGGCCAAATGGAACTTAAGTTATGCTCCAGAAACCAAATTGCTAACAGACAGACACTAGGGGATGTAACGTAAGATGTCCGAAATTTTTTTGAACATATAAAAAGCATCTATCATTAACACATCAAATCATACCATATTCAAAATAGTAATATTTCTGAAGAAAACAGACCAACTTTCATTATTCACATATTTTCGCGATGCCAATTTTTTAAATTTAAATCAAAAGGCAGATATAATCTGTTTAAAGCTCTGTAGCCATTAGAAATGTTCATAATGTTTTGTTATAATAAATCAAAACCACTTTTGATCTGAATGATATTTATAATTTCCGTACCAGGTGATTGACTAATAATGTATAATGTATTTCTTGGTACCCATGTCCTAATTGAGAAATGTGGAATCTGAGATTAGATTCATGTAAAAATAATTTACCAGGGTAAGTTAAATTTTCAAGTTCAAGGATAAAAATTCAGAGGGGGGGGAAATAAAGTAAAACTGAAACAAAACATCCACAGGCTTATTTGAACGTAAAATGTTATAACAGTGATTAAAGGTACTTGGGAAGGGTGCTGGACAATTAAAACTATTTCAGTTGTAACAAGATGATACCAAATGAAATACAAAATGTAATCTAAAAATATTAATTATTGTTGTTCTTTGAATACATACTAAACATACTGAACATTTACCGAGACTTGGGACATTTGTGGTCAATTTTGGGACACCTCTATTTTGCTAGGCCAGTTGTTCTGGACAAGTCTCTAGTCCCAAAAACAATTATATGACCTAACTTAGCCTAATCTACAAACATGGTGGTTTGACCTAGGTTTATTGTCCATTTACAATGATGGACATATGTACTTTAAAGATAATATAGAACATTTAATATCAGTAAAATAAATCATTAAAAGTTATCCATTTCTATTAGTACAATTTGGCAGAAAAATAACAGCCTATTGTCAGCAAAAGGAGTAAATTTGTTGAATTGATATAATCGCTGTCAAATAATTCATATCACTTAAAGATCCCGTAACATCCGCGCAGTCTGATCAGGATCCATGCTGTTCCCTTACAAACCCTATAACAAGTAAAGAAACTGATAGCGAACAGCATGGATCCTGATCAGACTGCGCGGATGTGCAGGCTGGTCTGGATCCATGCTGGTCGCAAACCCATTATGTTAGTTTTGTAATGAAACGGCTCAATTATAACTTTTTGCAAGTGTGGTATACACACAGTAACAATATCAATCACAAAACATACAGGATCTGAAGCTTCTAAGTATCATGAATTTCAGAGTATAAATATTATTTTCAAAGGTTACAGTTTTATCTATGCATTGAATAAGTAGAACACGATAACATTTGCATTAAGGCCATCCATAAAAAATTGTTTGTTTGTAGTGGTACGACCGACCCATGAAAATGGCCCCGACCCTAAAAAATTTTTACACCTTCGAAGATTTTTTTTTTTTTGAGATCATTATGTACCCATTCTGTTAAAAAGATCTTTCTCCAATAACTTTTCAGACAAATTTTGAAATGAGAAGTAGAAGAGTAAAAGCATTTACATTTGCAAAGGGCATAAAAATTCTCAGTTTCCAAGTCAAACATGTGAATGAATTGTTCTTTTGTTAATTATTTAACATTAAATCTTATAAAAGTTGATCCACTTTTGAAGATATTTGCTAAAATAATTGCCGATCGGATGAATCTCTTACACACTGTGTGAAGCTGTATTCATTCCACTAAATGCTGCCTATATATACGTACAGTATATGGAAATGATGCCCTCTTGAAGGTATTTTTACAAATATCAAGTTTTCGTCTTTAGACTTAATTTAGTGGACATATTAAACCAGAATAAAATTCGATTTATTTTTTGTATAAAAGTGAAAAAACGATTGCAACTTTGTTATGTGAAAATAGACAGAAATGGTACCCTCATGAAGGTTTTTTTTTACATGAGTGGACATATCTAACTTGAAAACAATTTGATTAATTTTTAGTATAAAAGTGAAAAAAAAAAGATTGCAACCTTGCTTCAAAGATAATATACAGTAAACTCCAACTGTATCGATATCGCTTGTAATGATATATCGGTTATATCGATACGTTTGTCTTGGTCCCTGCCAACTTCCATTATAACCTAACGGAAGCATCCTCGCATATATCGATATCGCATGTATCGATATTTCGGATATATCGATGTGGATTTTCAACCCCAACGCACATATATTACCTCTTAAAACGATAATTTGCTGCACAAGTTTGTTGTGGAAGAGCAGTTTCGGTCCGCTTGTTTTAATGCATAAATATCTGCTCGATTAAATATAATGACGCGGAACATGTTCTGTGCGTACGTAACTACCGTTTTGTTCTCAATACAGGTGAATTCATCTCAAAAAATAAAAGCATGGTTTTGTCCTTTTATTGTTTCCTTTCAATAACAATTTTCGTTGTAAATAAGTTATACATGTACATGTAGCTAAAACAGTGAACATGTCAGAAAAACGAAAAAGAAAAATTTTGGATATTGAAACTAAATATAAATTAATTCAAGAGATTAATCTTGGTAAACGTAAAAAAAACAGGACATTGCAAACGATTTTGGAATTAAACAAAACACATTAAGTTCAATCTGGAAATAAAGATTCTGTCATCAATGCATACGAGACTACGTCGTTCAGCCCAGCCCGTAAACGAATGCGTCATGCCAGTAATAGAGACATTGAAATGGCGCTGTTTGAGTGGTTTAAGACTGTACGATCCCAAAATGTGCCTATTGATGGACCTATGCTTACACGAAAGGCTAATTCTCTGGCATGTGAGCTGGGCATGGAAAATTTTCAGGCAACAAACGGATTTATTGAAAGATTCAAAAATCGTCATGGCATATCCAGCAAAACATTATCCGGTGAAGGTGCTTCCGTCGATAATTCACAAACTGAAAATTGGATGCAGTCAAAACTTCCAAGTTTGATCAAGGACTATGAACCAAAAAATGTCTACAATATCGATGAAACTGACGTTTTTTATAAAATGACCCCAAATAAAACACTAGAGGTAAAAGGAACAAAATGTTTTGGAGGCAAACAAAGCAAGGACAGAATCACAGTGCTTATCGGCGCAAATATGGACGGTTCTGATAAACTTAAACTTTTGATAATCAGAAAATTCAAAAATCCTAGATGTTTTAAAAATGTTAAAAGTTTGCCGGTAGATTACGAAGCTAATCATCGTGCTTGGATGAACTCAGAAATATTTATCAGTTGGGTGAAAAAACTTGACAAACGTATGACACGTGAGAAAAGATCTATTCTATTGTTTGTTGATAATTGCCCGGCCCATCCGAAAATCGAGGGATTAAAAGCTGTAAAACTGTTGTTTTTCCCACCTATCACTACATCTAAGTTACAGCCCTGTGATCAAGGGATTATCTTTTTATTCAAAAGGCATTACAGGTCACGTGTCCTTGACCATATTATTTCATGTCTTGACAAACATATCGATAAACAGATTAACATTCTAAAAGCCATACAATGGTTTTATGCGGCATGGAAAGATGTAACACCGACATGTATCCAGAATTGTTTTAGAAAGGCTGGATTTATGAATCAAGCACATCATGAAATTAATGCGACCCCGCAGGGGCATGTTTCCGATTCGTCTGACACAGACGAGTTCGAGGACGATGACATTCCGCTGGCTGAATTGGCATCGAAATGGAATCGCCTTAGAGTATTCAGTGACATAGACAAAAACATTTCTTTTGATGATTACATAAATGCCGATGAGAATGTTGTCTCCGGTGAGCAGAAGTCCGATAGCAATATAATAGCGGAGGTACAGCAAAAATTGAAACCCGCTGAAACCCTGTCGCAGAGTGACGAAGAGAGTGACTCTGAGACTGTTGATGACCCCCCACCCACCATGAATGAGTTTCTTAATGCTATAGACACTTGCAGACGCTTTGTTCTTTCTAAGTCTGATTCGTGTGATTCTGTTTTCAGATGTTTACATGAACTTGAGAAATTTTCAGTTGAAATAAGGAAAGCCAAAAAGCAGACAAAATTAACTGATTTTTTCCGACAGTGAATGTCTTTGTACATGAACAAAACTTAAACAAGATTTACCCATGAGTGTAAATAGTTAAAAAAGCAATTTAATTTTGACGTTTTTTTTTCCAGTGTATAAATTTAAGCCAATGTAAGGTTACCAGTACCTGTGTACATATTACTTTCGGTTTATGTCAGTTTTGTGTTTATTTTGATGTGCAACTAATTTTTTATGCATTCAACATTGATATGCATAAAAAGAATAAAGTTTTGTCGTAAGTACATGATTGTCACATGTCTAGTATATAATGCTACTGCTTATACATGTTGAACGATGCAGTGCATCGTCAGTAAGCTACACACCGTACAGAAATTCGGTTGTAACGATATTCGGATATAGTTTTGTATGTCCCCTGAATATCGTTATAAGCGGAGTTTACTGTACATACATCACTGAATGTTAAAATGGACTACCCTCCGTAACCATAGGCCACCACTGTATACATATATTTTTACACAAAATATTACTAGAAGAACTTTATTGTTGACTTTAATTAATTTAAATCATTTTGCCATTCATGATTGTCAAAAAATGAGGTTACACTAAAACTTGTTGAAAAAACAAGTTAATTGATAAAATTTTCGCGGGAAAATCGCTGGAAATTAATGGGTCTATTTCCGATACTTTTAAATAAGTTAAATACCTGTGTTTTCTTCATATTTCTTCATAAGAATGATAATTATTCATAAATTTTACCTTTTCCTAAATTGTAATTTAATAGCCATATTTTTTAATCTTTGTTGCAAACAATTTAACAAATCATGCACTGTTTTTGTTCCTTTTTTCTCCTTTGTATAAATTGTCCGTACTATATTCCCTTTTAAACACCCAAATGGGTTTATTTAACTGTTGCCAGGTGCTCTCTTTAATCCAACTTTCAAAACAAAATCCAGGCTCCAGGACCTGTTGATTACACACTATACATGTATACAGCAGGTGACGTAGATTTTTCTACATAAAACACTGCCAAATATGGTGAGTACACACGACTGTGTGACAGGTGTAACATACATAATGATATATTATTATGCTGGGTTAATACAGTATGGTTAAAATTTGTTTGGTAAGTGGCAAGATCTAAAATTCGTTCTATTTTTTCAAAGGGCTAGATCTGTCAAGTAATCATTTTTCTCAGACCACTTGTTTTATTACAGGTATTGTCACCTTTTTCCAGACATTGCCAATTTCAGTAAATAGGGAACAAGTTAAATTATTTAGTTTAAAGATGAAATAAATGTAAAATAAACAACAAACAAAAAAAAAGAAAGATTTAAATAAAAATCCCATATTATAAAGACTATTATACATATGGGATTTTTATTTAAATCGTTCTTTTTTTTGTTTTGGATAGAATTTCGGGAAGTACAAAGACCGGTCAATAACGGTATGACGGAGTTTATCGCTAGAACTGGCAATGGAACCGACGATGGGAGAAGAGCAGTGATAAATTCATTCAATTGGCGTAAAGGTTAGATAGTTGATAAGAGTAAGCAGTGTTTCTTATAGATTTTAATGTGCTTTCTTGATTATAAGTGCTCGGAAGTAAATCCCAGGCGTTTTTTTTAAATAAATATTCCTTGTTAATGTAGCGGTGGGAGGGGAAATGTTGTTGCCTTCCTTGTGTTTTTTTATACGGGGAAGTCTTTGGCTTGCCCGGCTATAGACTACACGTGTATATTTAAAAGAAAATTCAAATTAAAAAAAATAAAAAAATATATAGAATTCTATACCTATCAATGAAATTTTCAGTGTCAGTTCTAGTTAGGCGTCGCCATTTACAATGTAACTCAATGATAAAAGGCGTTGTATTCCGATTACGGAAAAAATCTCAACTTTTTGGATTAATAATAATCGTCGAGTGTTCCGAGTGAAAACGGAAGTGGGTACATATAATACCGAATGACACCTTTAAAACGGAAAAATGAAAGGATTTTTTACCGACTTCCCCGTTCATAGGCTTTGTCTAATTTCATATTAGTATATATATGGGATTTTTTTTAAATCGTTATTTTTTTGTTTTGGATATAATTTCAGGTTCCTGTGATCAGACGATAATAATTTACTACATGGCATGCTTGATGAATGAATACGAGCTTGTCGGACTTTCCATACAGGTCTGTCTTCAGCACTCACGTCATGTCACAGTATACTTTAAACTATATTTGACACTGACTCACTGAACACATTAAAATTAAGGTAAAATGGTGACAGATACACTAACAAAGTTCTATGCTCCTGCGTTTATGAATAAATTATGCAAATGAGCCGCCATGTTGGAGTTTCGGTAAGCGTGTTGGAAATTGCTACCTGTTCGTTTTGAAAGCTCGTCCTAACTTACAATTTCCTTGAATGTATGAAAACTTTGTTTTGTTTGATTGCATATTGAATGATAGGTATTGCAAAATAAATATAATGAAAATCGATCAATAAATAATTGTATACGAGCGTTATAAAGTCAATTTAATTCGTCAGAATAATAAGGTTCTGTTGCAGGGTATCGGTAAAAGACTGCTTTTTTTTCCCGTTTTTGAAATTTATTTAATGAATACGGAGACCAATTTTTCTCAAAACAGATTTATGAATATACTTTACGTTGCAACAGAGTTTACCGTGTGTCCATTCCTTATTTAAATTGTCTGAGAATTTAAATCTGTTTGTTTTTACATGAAAATGTGTACCGTCATTTTGACCGAGTGGAATAAAAACTACCATGACGGTGATAATACCGGATATGTTAATGAAAATTACGCCGTGTAGTGCAAAGTTTTGGACATTGCAATTAAAATTAACACTTACGTTGACTCAAACTGTTCCTTGTCAGCAAAATTGAAACCGAAAGTAGAGGTTGTTCTAGAATTTAATCGAATAAAATGGGTGGGATTTAACCACCGCGCATGCCCTGTGCGAACGTATTGTTTACATCCGGTCGTAGCATAGGGTAAGAGTGCAAACTTTGTTAGTGAGATAATGAGAATAAAAGCAATTTACAAAAAAGGAAAAGAGTATTCTCCTGATGAAAAATACATATTCAATAAGCCATTAATGAGTAGAAAATACCCGGTATATATTTGAAACTTACTTTAAACACAGATAATCTAATTTTGATTTGTTGTTGTTGTCCTCGTTGTTGTTGTTGTCGTTCCTTCGAATCTACCGAAAAGAACCGTATTTAACCCAAAGAAGTTTTTTCTATGACAGTTTTGCTTTGCGTGCGTAAAGCGGAACCAACAATGTAGAAGGAGTATTTCTAACAATATAAACACGCTTGCTTTTAACACACACACACACACCCTAAAGGGTAGTAATGATGCCGAAATCAGCTTTTATCACAAGAGATACAAGATACAAGACAATTATTTTACGTCGGATACATTTAAACAGAAAACACTAGCTCATTAGCTATTTTCCGACAAACAGAAGTAAATGTATTAACAAAATTAAAGCAGCATAAGCATATTTAAGTACATGGATTTAAGGTATTAAAGCAACTATAATTATAACTCAGTTATAGCTCAGTTGGTTAAACCACTGACTATCACTCCTGAGGTCCCGGGTTCGATCCTGGGTTACACCCTTGGGATTTTTCAGAGACACTTTCAGTGTTTCCCACCTACCTAGAGGTGTACTGGTAAGAAATCCAGGTAATCCTCGCATGTATCAGTGCTATACACTGGGCATGTAAAAGAACCAAGGGGTCTATTCAATAAGAGCTAGGGACTGGTTCCCGGATTCCCTTGTATCTTAAAGCTGTTTCTTAAATGTATACAATGTATACCTGCTTAGAGTGATCGAAAACGATTTTAAAGCAGTATGATGTAGAGTAGAGTAATTGTATGATTTCATTACAGAAATCAACTCATGTAAACAGCAAATATGGTTATGGCAATCTTAAACTTTTCTAAAGCATTTGATAAAGTTTCTCATAGACGTTTATCACACAAACTAGAGTATTATGGTATTTCCGGTAATACTAGGCGTTGGATTGATTCCTTTTTAATAGAACACAACAAGTAGTAGTGGACAACGCATCATCTGATATAGCCTCAGTAACATCTGGTAGACCGCAAGGAACAGTCCTCGGACAAACACTCTTTGTAATCTACATAAATGACATCGCAGATAATATTACATCAGGTATACGTTTATTCGCTGACGATTGTGTGTTATATCGGCCAATAAGTAATCAAAGAGACAACATAGCTCTCCAGGAAGATCTTATTAAACTTGAAAATTGGTCGGACATTTGGCAAATGGAATTTAATGTTAAAAAATGCGCCATTATGCAATTTTCATCTTCTTCACATAAAAAGAAATATGACTACAAAATGAAAGGCGAAAGCTTGGAAATAGTCAACCGGCATCCATATTTAGGGGTTGAATTCAGTGATAATTTGAAATTCAACGACCATATTAACAACATCACAAAAAAGGCAGCAAGTACACTTGGTTTTCTAAAGAGGAACTTAAGATACTGTCCTCCCAAAGTAAAAGAAAAAGCTTACATTAGTTTGGTCAGACCTAAACTAGAATACGCTTCCCCAATATGGAATCCTTTACAAAAGACTCAAGTTAAACAGAAATAACAGATACAAAGAAACGCAGCGAGATTGGTATTGAATAGACCGTATAACCCACACAATCCTTCTAGTGTAACTGAACTAATAAATAAATTACAATGGCCCAGTCTTCAACAACTTAGAGTTTGGGCAGATGTGACTCTCATGTGTAAAGTAGTTTTTAATAGCCGTACCAGTACTATACCACCCCACTAGCTATTGCCACCGTTCGTTCAACCCGAAGAAATCACAGTATGAAATTCATCCCAATCCAATCTAGAATCAACGTGTATCAACACTCATTTTTCCCAAGAACTGTTGATACCTGGAATATTATACCGGATTCTTGTGTTACTACTGAGAGCCTGGAGGCGTTTAAATCTTCCATCCAGCTCGTTCCAGTCGTACCATCATATGTTTAAATGGACACCACCTTGTAAAGTGTAAATACATGTTGGTCACCAGACCTTTTTATGGTGTAGTGTGGCAATGGGACAGTTGTGATACAATTGTGTAAAATAGTTTTAAAAATTTATGTCGGAACACGCCGTTCTACACCGATGTACAGCCTTCACCTCATCGACGTCGATGTCTACCTCGTGGATTTTGTCGAGTAACCCCGTTGAAGCGTTGAAGTTGAAGATACATTATCTTGTTTATTTTGCATTTTTTGGACATAATAATTGAAATTGACCTCCTGTGAAAAAAAAACAAACTATCAAAATATTTTATTTTAATGATGTTCTTGGCATAATAAATGTATGCATTATTCGAATTACTTCCATTGTCAGTTACACCGTCATAAAATACAATTACTTCGAAATTCTCTTATATGATATTTGATGGCAAAGTCTTGTATCAAGCGAAATAACCTGACCAATTGCTATGTTTTATGTCACCACGTTCGGCCCGACATTTCCCAGTGCTCACAACTTACTTTACTGGTTATGTAAGAGATTGGTAGCTTTTTCCTTACTTCCATTGTGCATGCTCACAAACAACTTGTACAATGTAAACCTAGACCGTTGTTTATT